GATGAGGGGATGGGGGAGATTCTAGAAGCCTGGAAGCTGGATGGCGTACCAGGCACCAGGTTAAATAATGTTCCCGGGAGTAAAAGGTGTTGCAAGGAAAGGCAGAGTCTCCCTGATGATGACCACTCATCTGTTTCCCCGCTCCGGCAGAGCAACCCCCCAGGCACAGAGAGCTGCCACCCAAACCCTTGTTTGGTCTATTCGGCAATTTTTCTTTCTCAGAAAGGGCTGATGTGAATTGGACTTGACAGGCACCTTGCCTGCAACCTCTCCCCTCCTCCACATCTCAAAACCGTGTTTCCTAGAACACTGTTTTCTGTGAGCTCAAAGTTCATAACAAGCTCGCAGACATCACACCCAAGACATCGAGCCAGCTTGTGATGGGAAGAAGCGCTTGGCCACAAGGCCCATGGGTGTGGCCGGCCCCGGGCAGGAAGCCGTGCTGTTCACTGACCCTCGGTGGGAAGCGGGTGTGGGTGCTGATGGGCTGGGGGCCTCCACAGAGGCGCAACAGGGGGATCCGCAGTAGTTACAAAAGGCGGCCGCGGTTACTACCACGCACTTGAGGCAGTGATGGAGTGAAAAACTGAAATGATTTAAAGACAAAAGACGAGACACAGCTAGTGTCCATTTTAATCTTGAGCCTATTTTTGAGAAAGGGCATCAAACTCCAGCCCCAGGCAAAACGGTGGTGAAAGTGGCCAAGTCCTTTTTTGATCTGCGGCTCCTCCTGCTTTTGCCACAGAGTTAGTTATCTATTGTTGGAAACAAATTATTCTGAGACCTGATGGCTTCCAACCTTTTTCTCACATTTTCTGTGGGCCAGGAGTTCTGGAATGGTTTAGCTGGGTGCCTCTGGATCCAGGTCTCTCATGGAGTTGCAGTCAAGCTGGGCCCGACAAGAGCTGGAGAATCCGCTTCTAAGCAGATTCCAAGCAGGTCACAGTGCCTCCGTTCCTTGTGATGGGGATTCTCCATGGGCTGCCTGAGAGTGCTCCCAAGAAGGCAGCCGACGATGCAGGAAGCAGGAAGCCTGAGATCACAGGAATGGGAGCCACAGCCTCTGCAACCTGGCCTCAGAGGTGACGTTCCGTCACTTTTTACCATATTCTAATCACAAGAAGTGGGGTACTAGGTCCAATTCATACTCAAGGAGAAGGATTGCATAAGGGTGTGAATATCTGGAGGCAGATATCATCAGGCCATCTTAGAGGCCACTTACCATAGCTACCCTCCTTATCTTCATATTCATAAGAGTAATAATGGAAGGAGTTGATCTAACAAAGTTGGTATGAGAATCAGATACAAAAAGGAATAAGATAGGACTCCTAAAAGAGAGGTCCAAGAAAGGCAGTGTGACCAAAACGTCTTTACTTTACCCTCAGATCCAGTTATGGAGATGAGCCCAGAACCCTGCCTTTTAACAGCACCCCAGGCCCACCAAGACTTAAAACCAACCTTTCTACTCTGTAAGTTGGGAATAAAGAAAGGCAGAGCATTTAGACCAGGTGTCCCCAAACTTTTTACACAGGGGGCCAGTTCACTGTCCCTCAGACCGTTGGAGGGCCGTCACATACTGTGCTCCTCTCACTGACCACCAATGAAAGAGGTGCCCCTTCCTGAAGTGCGGCGGGGAGCCGGATAAATGGCCTCAGGGGGCCACATGTGGCCCACGGGCCGTAGTTTGGGGTCGCCTGATTTAGATAAACAGTGGAGCGAAGAGGTAAACTTTTTAAGCCCGCAGATGCTCTCCGTTGACTTGTCCTTTAAATAACCCTCCTGTTCTCAGTGCAACTGTGAGTTTATGGAAACGCTGGCAATACCAAGTACATTTCACAACTGAACCTCACTGGAGCAGTGCCCCGAGACCCCACTGAGAATCTCCCATTAGTATGATCAATATCCCATGCTCCACAATTACCTCCTCCTACCCTATAGCAGTTTTTGAAGCCAGGCTTCTATGACAACACTTAAAACAACAAACGTTTTTGGCAAATGACCCTAACAAACATATTTAATTTTTTCTTTCTTTTTTTTTTAGAGACAGGGTCTCACTTTGTCTCCCAGGCTGGAGTGGAGTGGTACAATCACAGCTTACTGCAACCGCAAACTCCTCAACTTAAGCAATCTTCCTGGCTGGACTTTTTTTTTTTTCTTTGATGAACAGTAATACATCTTGAGGCATCACTTAGCTTTCTCCTTATCAACAGTAAACACGTATTGTTTTACCCAGCAGAAAATGTAGCCACATCCAGCTGCAATTTACAGCAGAAGAAAACAGGTGATTCTTACCATCAAATCAAATTAACCTCAGCTGGAAAGGACAGTGAGCTTTCATCAAATCCATGCCAGAGAGAATAATCCTCAAAATACCCCCCAACAGGTAGGCCTTTATTTAATCCCTTGGGCAATCAAGTCCTTGTCTCTACCCTCACAGTGATTTATTTTATATATAATCAAATCCTTCTTGCTGTAATTTACAGCATTTTCTTTAGTTCTGACCTTGAGGGAAATAAAGAGCAGATGCTCACACAGCTTTTAATATTTGAAGGTTCTTAAGTCACTGCTGAGCTTGTCCTGCTGTTAGAGTGGAAGGAGACACAGGCTGCTGCTTTTTCGCTTTTTCTGCTTTGCTCTGCTTGGCCTATATTTCTGTTAACAGGAGTCTTGTTTTTATCTGTGTGAATTAAAGACTATGAGTTATTTTCAGTTCAGCACAACTGGAATAGCCTGGTCTTTTTTTTTTTTTTTTTTTTTAACAAAATCTACCAACAAATGTTGGTTTCCATGAGGGGATTTGGCTTAAACAGATGACATTTAAAAATTACAATCAATTTTTCCTTAATGCCACCTAAAAGTCAGAAATGTAAAAACTTGACTTTGTTGACTGGCCTTTGATTGCTTTAATCTGATATGACTGAGCTTTGTTGAAGCTTGGTTCCGTCGTCACCTAGAATTAAAATCAAAGACAGTATTTTCCTTCCTTCTCTGCACAGTAAGGCCCTCCGAGTCTTAGAGAGAAATGAATATTTCCAAAACTGCATGTGGGACCGAATAATCTTCCAAAGCAACTCCCAAAATAAAGTTCTGAAAGCACCTCTCATGTTTATTGTTTCTTAATATCCTGTTGCAAGGTGGGCAAAAAGGGAGTTGCCTTGGCTAAAGGCCAGGAGACAAAGTTCTAGTTCTGGATTTTGTTCAGCCTTTGTGGATCACGGTTTGCAACTTTATAAATATATACAAACATACACATACACGCACATATATGAAAGTTTAAATATATATAAAAATAAGCGCTCTTCCTTTGAGAGAGCTTCCATGACAGAGAGAATAATCCTCAAAATACGCCACCAATAGGTAGTCCTTTATTTAGTCCCCTGGGCAATCAAATCCGTGTGTGTGTGTGTGTGTGTGTGTGTGTGTGTGTGTGTCTGTCTCTGTGTGTGTGTGTGTGTGTGTATAAGGAAGAGAGCTTAAATCCCCAGTCTGGCAAGTCTAATGCTTGGCTGGGTATGGTGGCTCATGCCTGTAATCCCAGGACTTTGGGAGGCCAAGGTGAATCATTTGAGGTCAGGAGTTTGAGATCAGCCTGGCCAACATGGTGAAACCCCATCTCTACTAAAAATACAAAAATTAGCCAGGCATGGTGGCACGTGTGTATAGTCTTAGCTACTTGGGAGGCTGAGGCAGGAAAATTGCTTGAACCCAGGAGGTGGAGGTTGCAGTGAGCCAAGATCGTGCCTGCACTCCAGCCTGGGTGACAGAGCAAGACTCTGTATTAATTTAAAAAAAAAAAAAAAAAAAGTCTCATGCTTCTGAGTCTGACAACCATGTGAGTTTTGGGCAAGATTTAAAATTTCAAAGGCACAATTTTCTCACTGGCTAGATAAGAATAACAATTTTCACTTCACTAATTTGTCGTGAAGATTTCAGATAATGAATATAAAGGATCATGGCATATAGTAGGTGCTCAATGAATACCTTTATAAAGAAACATATATTGCAATTATGTTATGATGGCTGCCTTCTTACTCAGAAGACTATTCTAATTCTTTCTCTTTTTATTATAATTTCTTTGGATTTATAAACGCCCCCACAGCTCTTTCAAACCAAGGATCTTCACAAATAACAGTGTCTAGGGAACCTTTATTCTCCTAAAACAAGTACTTATTTTTAACAGTGGTCTTATATTCTATAAAAAATATTTAAAAAACATCTTCATGAGTAATATTATATATGAGAGAAAGGGACATTTAAGCCAGTGTTCACCCTTGACCGTGTTCATACTCTTAATTATGTCGAGACTCATGACTTTGATTCTTATTTTGGCCTTTACTCAGGCTCTGACTACAGATAAGAATCAGTTTTGCCTAAATTTCAATTGCTTGGGAAAAGATCCTTGATGATGGATGTCTACACGGAATTATGAATAAATGCTCCTGTGAAAATAAGGGCAAGTCTATATGTTTATGTGATAAAGCAGATAATTTCAGAGTATAAGCACGGCTGTGTTTTGACTTGTTAAATATAGTTATTTATATAGATTAAACATATATTATTAAATATAGATTATTTATTTATTTATATATGTGTGTGTGTGTATTTACATAAAGTTGCCAACTGTGATCCACCATTGCTAGAGCAAATCCAGAATTAGAACTTGGCCTCCTGGCCTTCAGCCCAGAGTTCACGACAGTCTCATTCTAAAAACAAGTACATCACACTGACTGCTTTCTACGCACACATATGTAGATTTCTGGACACTCTTTTTGGTTTGCTTTTTTTTTTTTATTTATATTCTCAATGCTGAAACTTTATTAGAATTACATCACCACTGCAGTTCCTAAGCTCTGTCACAACATCTGAGGAAATTATCTTTAAATGTTCCCAAGCTCTATACCTTAGCAAAAAAAAAAAAAAAAAAAAAAGTCCTCTGCTGTTCAAGAATAATAGGCCCAGAACAAATCCCGAAAATAAATGACAAAGCCCATCTTACTCACAAGAGGAAAGGATCATGGCAGCCCCTCCTGCAGGGAGCACACAGAGCACACAACAGTCTTCAGTTCTTCTGCGGTGCTCCACTCACAAAAACACACCTTTCAACTGAAATCATAGTTCACCAAAGATGTTTCTCACGGGCAGAGTTAACCCCTCCTATTTTCCTGTTCTGAAAACCTCAGAAGCGTATAAATGACAACCAATGGCCTATATAAGTAAGCTCAGTAATCTGCATCCCAATCTCTGAGGGTGTCTGCTATTAGTCTCATCCCCAAAGGTGTGGGTGACTCGCAAACATCATTTTCAAGAAATCACAAAATTTTGGTAAAAGGCTCCTTTAAAATCATCAAGTCAAACTGCCCTCTCTGGACTGGGAAGGAAATGGAGGTACAGATAGACTAAGGGACTTGCCCAAGGCCACACGGTGAGTGGCAGAAACAATTAGATTCTAGGCTCTGGAATATTGAGTTTAGAATGTTCCATCCTCCCACTCAGCAGACACTTTATTTGGTGGAAGTCAATCTAGTAATAACCCTAAAAAGTGACTGGGGCATGGCTGAGAAATATAAAAACAACAATACAAAACACACTTGGGGGCCGGGCGCGGTGGCTCACACCTGTAATCCCAGCACTTTGGGAGGCCGAGGCAGGTGGATCACGAGGTCAAGAGATCGAGACCATCCTGGTCAACATGGTGAAACCCCGTCTCTACGAAAAATACAAAAAAAAAAAAAAAAAAAAAAAAATTAGCTGGGCATGGTGGCGCCTGCCTGTAATCCCAGCTACTCAGGAGGCTGAGGCAGGAGAATTGCCTGAACCCAGGAGGCGGAGGTTGCGGTGAGCTGAGATCGCACCATTGCACCCCAGCCTGGGTAACAAGAGCGAAACTTCGTCTGAAAAAAAAAAAAAAAACAAAAAAAAACCACACACTTGGGAGTTTCACTTCATCCCATTGGAAAGCATAACCATATGTTAACGAATTAAGGGAACAACTTTAAGGAAGACACAGGGATATTCTCACCACCCTTCCCATTTCCTGTTTAGATTAAGGTTCCTTAGCATTCTGAGTGATGACTGATATTTTTACTTCACCTTTTGCCTTAGTTATGCTTTTGTATAACACATTTTTTTAAGTCTCAGTAAAAAATATTTAAAGATTGTTGAAGGAAATGTTCCCAAATGTTGCCAGGAGCTATCTATCTTGTTTTTCCATCAACAGCATACATTGGGGCAGGGACTCTATCTTGTCCTCATTCTCTTCCATATCACCCAGTACTTCCCATAGCTTCTCAAGGTGAAAAGGGAAGTATGGGATGCGAGGAGAAGAGAAGAGAAGGTGAGGAAGAAAGGAGAAAAGGCTGACAGTGATAGTAAGGTAGAGTGCACCAGGACTGACCCCTTGAATGAGCTACAAGTCAGTTAAAAGTTGTACATGGTTAGCAACGACATGGAATCAACCTGAATGCCCATCAATGACAGACTGGATAAAGAAAATGTGGTACATATACACCATGGAATACTATGCAGCCATAAAAAAGAATGAATTCATGTCCTTTGCAGGGACATGGATGGAGCTGGAAGCCATTATCCTCAGCAAAGTAATGCAAGAACGGAAAACCAAACACCACGTGTTCTCACTTATAAGTGGGAGCTGAACCATGAAAACGCATGGACACAGGGAGGGGAACACCACCCACTGGGGCCTGATGGGGGAGGCCGGATGAGGGGAAAGCATCAGGAAAAATAGCTGATGCATGCCAGGCTTAATACCTAGGTGATGGGTTGATAGGTGCAGCAAACCACCATGGCACACATTTACCTGTGTAACAAACCTGCACATCCTGCACATGTACCCTGGAACTTAAAAAAAAAAAAAAAAAAAAAAAAAAAAAAAAGTGCACGTTTTTGCCATGGGAGTACAATTAAACAGGTAGATCAGACTCTGAGTAAGTAGTTTACTTTCTTCCACTACGAGGTGGACAGGAAAAGAAGAAACGCAGCCTTCAGTGGATGGACTGCCTGGTGTACAGACTCTAGACTGTCCGGGATGAATGAAATGGTTCTCCCGGGTCAGAGCAGCCAGCCTGTGTGTTCACCCAGCACTCCAGAGAGCACCAGAGACCATGGCGGCCTCCAGAAAAGACGGAACTCCTGAAGGGAAGGCGCTGTCTCCCTCGGCGGGCTACCCCACTAATACCAAGAATAATGTGCTGGCCCATAAATGGTCTCTGGGTGACTGACACACAGTTTCTTTCCGCTGATGCGCACGTGACCGAGACAGTTTCTTTTCCTTGGCGCTCACGAGGAAAAAAGGAAGGCCCTAACTCCGTTACTGTCTTCGTAGAGCTTCTAAGGATGAGAAATCCACACGCAGAGTCTTGACAGCAGGGTCGCCTGGGAGAATGTCCGACAGTGTCATCCATCCCAGAACCCAAGTCCGACCTGGCCTCCCGAAAAACATCGGGGAGGCAGCTCGAACCCCACGCTCGCCATTCTCTTGCTCGGAACACCGGGCTCGCCATTCTCTTGGTAGCTTCCTGGATCCTCCTCCACAGCTCAAGCTGCTTCCTGGTCTTGCGTGAGGTGGAGGCAGACTTGGTTGCGAGCATCACCCAAAACTTCTGCCCCAGAGCCCAGCACTTCCAATTATAGTGTCTGTGCTCCAGGGAAGATTCTTAAGGCTTAGAAGTAGATGACCTGGTTCAATTTTCCACCTGATTCTGATTAGCTGTGGCCACCATGGGCAGGATTACATGGGCAGACCCTATTGGTGGTTAAGCCGGACAGGCATCCCCAGACACATGTACCTGAGTGACAAGGGGTATTAACTGGTAGAAGAGTTGAGACTTTCTTCTCTTCAGGCATAGTTGATGTCCAGGGGGAAATGAATGAACAGCTGTAAGGCACAGTCTCTAGTCCTAAGGTGAGCTCATATACTGCAGGTTTAAAAGTTTCAATTAAAAGACAACTCGTGTTTCTTATAAATATATAACTTTATATATTACATATATTTATAATATATACAGCATACAAATATTTTTCATGTAATACTAAGAGCAGTCTTGAAAACTGAGATGTTTTCAAAACAAAAGATGGGTGTTTATCCAAGGTGGGTTCCTGGTTTATCTAGAACCCAACTGTAGACAATGTCTCAGGCCCAGATTTCTGCAGAAGTCAAAGGGAAAAAGAAGAGTTACTGGGTCATGGCTCTAATACCCTTCCTCTTCCCAAATACCTGGCCTTCAACTGGCATCAACTAACATGATCCCATGTGTGTACCCCTAAATGGCCAAACCCTGGGGCTGTACACAGTGCCTGGTACACAGTTGTCACTCGAGTGCCTGAGGAGAATAGAAATGAGTGATTTTAATCACCATCTCTAAGGCAACATTTCCACACTCTGGGAGATTCCGTCTAGAAGCAAGTCTAGACGGAGGCTGATCCAGAAGCAAATTCTTTATGTGTTTCCACTTTATAAGTAAAACGATCCACATGTCCAAGTACTCAATAAATTAAAAGCCATAAAATGCCCATCCTTCTGCTTGGGAGGTGCTGGTCGCATCACTTATCTTCCAAAAGTTTCTTCACATTCAACTAGTTCATCTATCGTGCGCAGCAGATCTTCAAAAGAAGGCCTTCCCTCTGGTTTCTACAATTAAAAGTCAAAGAGAAGCCGTGGGTTCCAGAATCCATTCCAAAAACTCTCACTGCTCAAATTCCTAAACATAGCATATTACAGAGAGGCTTCTGCTTTGGGACTGGGACATCCAGGCTATCTCCAAAGGGTCTCTCCCCTCCTCTACCCTGCGTATACTGTTGCTAGGCTAATCTTTCTAAAACACTGCTTTCATGGCTCTCTTCAAGACCCTGATAGATCTCCTTACTGCCCAAGAAATCAAGTCCAGCAAATTTGTAGGATCCTCTATAACCTACCACTTCCCCAACCTCTCATCCAATTTTATTCCCCACAAAAACCCTCACATGAGCTCTCTATTAAATCGGGCCACCCCCTCCCCTGCCGTGCACAAACACCGTGTTTATAACCACCTCCTTAGCTTTGCTCAAGCTGTTCTCTCTCCCTCTAGCACCACTTCCTGCCCAGAATGTCTCTGCCCATCCCAATCAATGCTCTTGGGAGGTGGTACAGCAAGTGGTTAAGAGCCTAGGCTTTGGAGTCAGGCAGGCCTATGCTGCTCTATAGCTAAGTGACCCCAGGCAAACAGCAACCTCATGACCCTTAATTTTCTCATGTATGGAGCGGTCACAGTCGAAGTATCTCCATCTCAAAGGGTTGTTTTGAGAACTAAATCCAAAGCACTAAGTACAGTGCCTGGTACATAATACATGTGAGCTAATGTTACTGTCTTTTAGAAGTCATTTGGTATCTAATCTCTTTTAGAGTGGCATTTGAATACTTCCAAAGACCTCAGAAAGTTGAGGCTTAGAGAAAGAAACCAACTCTGGTAAAAGAACAATACTTCAACTCTACCAGTGACCCAGTGAAAAAAGAGCTCCTTCTCCAGGCTTAGTCCCCGAGTCCCTAGCTCGGACAACCATGGAAGGAGTCCCACTTGGGAATGAGGAAGCAGCCTGAATGTATCAAGAGAGCTATTAGCATTTTCCACACCTTTGCATTCTTTTTGCCGATATTCAGAACTTGAGGATTGGCTTCCTACCTAGAGCTTGAAATCACTGTAAAGCATGCACCACCTCACTAGGCTATAAAGACTGCATGTTGTCCATCTACCAAGCCTAATCCCTAAGAGATTCAGAAAGACAGCACACAAAAGAAGTCTATACCTCCTGCCAACATCTCAGCATCACCTCGTATACATAGGCGGACGCCAACTTTGGCTGGTAGAGTCGGTGCCCTCGAGTAACCATGGTTACCACTTCATAATTGGTGTATTTTTCAAAGGGCATTCTGCCTTCTGTGAATATTTCCCACATTAAAACACCTGGAAAAGGATAAGGATTACCCAATGGATGTATCCACTTCCTCCTCAGGACGGACAGAGATAAGGAAACATGGACCATGGATCTTACCAAATGACCAGACGTCGGATTTGCTGCTGAAGCGGCTGTAATTAAACACTTCAGGTGGACACCACTTCACAGGAAATTTAGCACCGGAAGAACTTGTGTACTGATCATCCAGAACATACCTAGAGTAAGACACACCGTGGGTTTACACCTCTGAAGTACAATCTGCATTTCTACTTGCTCTTTCATTTTTCCCCCACCTTACGATGAAAAACACAGTTGACTGAAGTCCAACAAGCATCCGGTTGAAGCTAAATGTTCACCTCGGTGACCACACCTGGTGATTTCCAACTTCCTCTCAGCTTGATTTAAGTGCATGAGATGAATGCATCACCACATTACTATCTGCACTTCCATTTTTCTGTTTTTCTTTCTTTTTATAAGGCAATAGAGACAAGGTATCATAAAATAGTTTTCAAGCTTTTCTTTGGAAGCAGTTTTGTTCTTTAAATAAAATTTTACTCAAAGGCCCCATATGTAAAAAATCTCAAGCAGAGCTGCTCTAGAGGAAGTGGTATAAAGCATCTAGAAATACACATGCTTTTAGCCCTCACGATTCCACAGAGTACAATTTAAAACTAGAGCATATGAAAATAGCAAATGCAAAAAAAAAACCACACACACAACACAAAATGCCACACGCAAACGGTGAAGTATGCATTCATATACCATAACACCCCCACATACACATGTGCACTCAGAACAATACTATGTAATTTTTTTATGTGAACATACTACATCCTTCTGGAAGAACATACAGAAAATGGTAACAGTGGCTAACTTTGGGGGAAGAATCCTTGATTAGAGTTGGTGGATGAGAAGACTTCAGCCCTTTCTGTAAGGTGGGCAGTACATATTTACAAAAAAAAAAAAAAAAAAAAAAAAACACATGTATTTCTGTCTTATGTGTGAATATACCATCAATTTCTAAAAGCTTTCTTAAGAAAATAATCAAAGAAGTGCACAAACATCCTTTGCTATATAGACAAAGATGGTGACTCGGCACAAATCCAGCTGCTTGCTTGGCAGACAATGCCACTATGGGCTAGATCAAACTGTCAGCCATGGGAGTCTGAATTTAGGGTATAAAGAGTGTTTTCGAGTGGTTGATGCAGAAGTACAGATTTTCTGAAAGCCTAACATGTGAAGATTGAACATATGAAAGTGGTGGACAGCCTGTCAAATATAGAGTATCTTTATTTAAAGCAAATAAAGAGCATTAAGTAATTAATATCCTGAGAGTTGGAAGCTCTGATCCCATTTCTGATAGTATCAGTTTTCTAATCTCCCTGGGCCTGAGATTCCTTAGGAGTGAAACTTGGTTCTACATGGCCTGGTCCTTGCCTGCATTTATAAGCATTCCTGGCGCTGCCCATTGGCCAGCTACCCTGGCCCTTTTTCCGTTCCTCGAGCAAGCCAGACGTGTCCCAGACTTGAAGTTTCTTCACTTGTTCTTCCTCCTGAAATATTTTATCCTTATATTTTCACCTACACTGGCTACTTCCTACCTTTTCACCTCCAATCAGATCTCCCCATTGTAAAGAGGTCATCCCGACCAGCAGATCAAGTAGCCACCCTCACTCTTGTGCTGCACCATCACCCAGCACCACCCCAAATTGTCTCTATCACAGGGGTCAGTCAACTTTTCTGCAAAGGGCCAGATAACACATATTTCACATCTCACAGGCCATACAGTCCCCGTGACAACTACTCGACTCTGCATCTGTAGCAGGAAAGCAGTCACAGGTACCACCTAAATGAATGAGCCAGGCTGTGTCTCAATCACGCTATTTTTATGGACAGTGACACTGGAATTTCAGATATTTGTTTACATATGAGAATATTCTTTTCATTTTTTTTCAACCATTTAAAAACATAAAACCAAAATGAGGTGTGGGTCAGACTGACAGCCACAGTTTACTGATATCGATTCTGCTTGATCATGTATTATCGGGTCTTCCGTTTCTCCCTCTTCCTGAATGTAAGCTGCATGCGGGCAAGGACTTGTAGGTCTTATTTTATAATACAGTTCAGTCTATCATTATGCCTGACACACAGCAGGCACCTGATTTTTTATGGGTAGTTGTATAGATGAACGAATGCACAGACAGAGGGAGAAGAGAAAAAGAATAAACTAAATACCTTTTGAAGGTATTTTATCATAGTATTAAAATTATAAAACTTAATAGAAGAAAAACACTGCAAACATGGACATACTAAGAACCTCACCACCAAATATGTTTTGTGAAACAAAAGATTCCAGAAATCGAATCCACACCAGGAAATATAGTGTATTTAACAGGCTATACTACCACCTAGTGGAGAGAATTACTAACATCACAATATATACTTCGTTATTTTAATCTCAGAACCATTAACAAGATTTCCTTTCTGCTTCATCAGTGCAAATTATTCCCACACTTATTAATTCCACCAAAAAAATGCAGATGATCACCGAAAACCACATATTACTTGGACATACCTGGCCATTCCAAAATCAGATACTTTTACAACTCCCACTTCACTTACTAGACAATTTCTGGCAGCCTGAAAAATAACATTATGTTGGTATGTTAGTTTTAAAATTCCACCATTTAAGTAGGAAAATATAAGTTCTGTTTTTATTAAATTTAGTGTAACCTAGTCAACATTTGCAGTGGGTGGAAACATCCTCTAATAAGTTGTTTTTACCCCTATGGAAGTATTTTCATTGTATATTTGAAATAAAATGAATAGAAAGGCAGGTCAGAAAGTCATATTTGTAATAAGGCATTATTACATAATCTTTACCAATTGCCTTTTTTTTTTGAGACAGGATCTGGTTTTGTTGCCCAAGCTGGAGTGCAGTGGCACAATCTTGGCTCACTGCAACCTCCACCTCCCGGGTTCAAATGATTCTTCTGCCTCAGCCTCCAGGGTAGCTTACAGGTGCCCACCACCCCATCCAGCTAATTTTTACACGTTTACTAGAAACGGGGTTTCGCCATGTTGGCCAGGCTGGTCTTGAACTTCTGAACTCAAGTGATCTGCCCACCTCAGCCTCTAACAGTGTTGGGATTATAGGCATGAGCCACCACACCAGCCAGTTATCATTCTTAAACAAGGACTAATAGAAGGTTCAACTCTCTATTCTCCCTCCCAGACCTGTTCTTATTAAACTATCCAATTTTCTTACTGTCAATGAGAACATCTCTTGAAGTCCTTAATGCAGGTTCTCACTAGGCAAGCATAATGGCACACAACCATCAAAATGATGGGCAACCAATCTCTTATCCAATATTTCTACTCAGTGATTGGTCATCTCATCCCACTCAAAGAACAGGCTGGGTGCAGTGGCTTACACCTGTAATCCCAGCACTTCGGGAGGCTGAGGCAGGTAGATCATTTGAGGTCAGGAGTTTGAGACCAGTCTGCTCAACACAGCAAAACCACGTCTCTGCTAAAAATACAAAAAAAATTAGCCAAGTGTAGTGGTACATGCCTGTAGTCCCAGCTACCTGGGAGGCTGAGGCAGGAGAATTGCTTGAACCCAGGAGGCAGAGGTTGCCGTGACCCAAGATCATGCCACTGCGCTCCAGCCTGGGCAAAAGAGCAAGACTCCATCTCAAAAAGAACAGCTATGTGTAAATACAGTTTGCTTTTTCATTTATATTCCCAGTATACTATAATGATGTACAAAATTGGTCAATTTAATTTATATTTTCTTGCACATTCTTCAAGCTTACAAGGTTCAAGAAAATAGTTTGATAGAAAGATATAGTATTTCTCAGAAGGAAGACATAATATTTTTAATACCATAACCCATGGACCAAGATATGTTTTTCTTCCTGACTGTTCATAATTCTATTTTTTCTATGTGGCAATTCCACTTATATGAGGTTCCTTCTTGCTGAGTGCATTTTAAGAGTCTCTTATAAAGTGAAACTTAACGCCCATTCCCTGGACTACCTGCATCTTCCTACGAAGACACTTCGCAACTCCACAATGCCTGCACTGAATGGTCAACAGTATTCTTCACCCAGAAGACAAGAACTTCCAAAGTTTCCCATAAGGGGTGACACAAACCTACCACAGTAATACCAACATCATAGGCAGAGAAATATGAGAATTGCTTTTGCCAAAATATCGTCTGTGTGGACAGGTGTAATCTGCCACACCCATGTAGATATTAAGTTTTTACCAGTTTTGTTAAGTACAAAAAAGACAAAGGTTCTTAGATCATGAGTTCCAATTGACTGAGATGTTCTTTGTCATCCTTGACATAATGATGACAATAACTGATGTTATCCACAGCATGTCTATTTTACAAAGCCCTGTGATCTTTAAAACAGTCTTGCAAGCCAAACAACATTATAACCCACAATTTACAGACACAGAAACTGAATCTAAGATAAGTTTCCCAAAACGCACCTAGGAAATCAAGTGTTTCATCTCCAAATCTTTAACTCTCTAATATGCTCTAATTCTAGAGGCAGTATAGCATAGTAGCTAAGTATGGATTGTAGAGCCAAACTCCCGGGGTTCAAATCCTGGCTCTACAATTTACTTGCCCATTGGTAATTTATTTTATCCTGTTTGTACCTCAGTTTCCTCATCTGTAAAAAGGGAATAATAAGAAAATCTACTTCCTAGAATTGTTATGATTAAATGAGTTTCTCTGTAAAATACTTATCAGAACAATGTTTGTCTAAGGTGATTGTTAACTTTAAAAAATGTTTTGCTAAGGCCAGGTGTGGTGGCCCACGCCTGTAATCCTAGCACTTGGGAGGCTGAGGCGGGCAGATCGCTTGAGCTCAAGAGTTTGAGACCAGTCTAAGCAACATGGCGAAACCCCATCTGTACAAAAATTAGCCAGGCATGGTGGCATGTGCCTGTAGTCTCAGCTACCTGGAGAGCTGAGGCAGAAGGATCACTTGAATCTGGGAGGTTGAGGCTGCAATGAGCCAAGATTGTGCCACTGCACTCCAGCCTGAAATTCAAAATGAGACCCACCCTGTCTCAAAGAAAAAAAAAAAAATTTTTTTTTTGTTTTGCTGTTTTCTAGAAGAAATGTGTCCACGCTTTATCACTAGAAAGCTAAAACTAAAATATAGAAGAAAGTCCCAAATGAAAATTACACTCTTCTTGGTGGAAAAATTATTTTCAAGAATTGTTTTCAAATATTTTCAATTATTTTCAAGACAGTGCTACCGATATGCTGAAAACAGACACAGTTGCAAAGACCAGGTAGAAAAAAAAAAACAGAAGGAAAAGAAGAATGGAGGAGAGAGTGATAACAGTTGAGAAGGGAAAAACTGTCTCCATCATAGTAATTTAGAACCAGTAGCAGATTTCTTTTTCTGGTATTTTGGGAAGTTAAAATAAGCCTCCATGTTTTCTCTGTGATTTAAGAGATTTTTTTAAAATCCAAAGGATTTCTCTTATAATTTCTGTTTATAGTGCGTGAGGTGGGAAAGAACTTGGGATCTAGTTAGAAAATCAAAGCCAACCCCAGCTTCCCCGTTTATCACAGTAGGCAAGCCTTTTCATTTCCCTGAAGCTAATTTTCCCATCTATACAACAGTGATGGTAAGAGAATCCACTGTGAGTGGCTATCTCATGGGATTCTTATGGAGGTCAAAAAATTAAAACATGGAAACTTGCTTGGAGATGTTAACTAGGTAAATCAATAGATTCAATGAAGATCTTTCCTTCAAAATTATAGCGTAAGTTAAATTTACCAACTTTAAAAATAATGGTGAAACACTGTTAAGAACAAAACTTGGGTATTAATACATCATTGCACTTTTGCTGACTCCATGTTGCAAAGGAATTCAGCCAATGAATGGGAATATGTGTGGCTAGGGGGTTACCAGATCTCTGTGGATGAAGCTGTTTCTCTCCAGATACTCCATCCCTTCACACACATCCTGACACATGCTCAGCAGCACGTCTCTACTGAAATGACCTTGTCTCTGTCGGAGGAAATTCAGAAGGCAGCCCCTTTCCATGAATTCGGTAACAATGTATATTGGTTTCTGCTGGGTGCACACACCATAAAGCTGCACTAACTTCGGGTGTGTCAGTTTCCTGGGGAGGAAGACATACATATGCACATAGTTACCGCAGGAAAAGAAACTACCAGGATTTTGGCGAGGGGCCACTTTTTAATACGGAAAGGTGAGCCAGAAGGATGACAGCAACTTACATCATCACTTTAGCTTCTTCTATAAAGTCCTCCTCGCACATTGCACCTTCCCGAATAGCTTTGATTGCGACTTTGTACTGGGCTCGCCATTTGCCAAGCCTCACCACTCCAAACAGTCCACTTCCCAATTCTCTCATAAAGGTCAGTTCTGAAGGATTAATCTCCCATTTCTCTGCAGGACAGAAGGGGAAAGCGTTCATATTTAAAAAGGAAAACATAGCATGAATCAGAGAGGGATAAACGAACCTATAACCAAGATCAATCTCAAAATTACAGGATAACACTGTAATAATTCCTGGTAAAACACAGAGCAGACTTAAAACCTGCGTCTGAACTTCAAAAGGTGGAGAGGATGTATGCCTTCTAACCAACATGAAATGAAGGCAAGATAATTCTTCCTAACAGGCTAATAATAATATAGCCTGAAAGTTAAAGGTACTTTTGTCAAACAAACACTTCCTTCTTTACCACTCTTCCTTCTCAGTTTTTTTTCTTTTTCAGTTCCATCAAGTTAGAAATAATCTAATCCACTGTTTTCAAGGCTTTTGCCAGAGCAACAAAGACAATTAAATTGGAAGCTTTCTCTCTTACCTCCATCCTTGCTCACGTTCTTGTAACCAATAAAGCTGGTGAGAACCAACAAGGGCTTTGATTTATTTTAGATGTTAACATGATAATGCTTATTTTTCACTGACAGAAAGCTTTCTATGGAATTATGAATAATGATGAAAATAGAATACCTAGGTTGCTATGGTCTTAAAAATCATTATCTAAAAACCCATCCTATAAACTTATTAAAATACGGTTCTGGTAAATGAAATAGTACACATCCAAATTTGTCTCATGACAATGGATTCTTTTCAAGGAAAATTAGCTCATGCAACTGCAAAATAAGAGTTACCATAGCTGAATCCTGCAGTGGTGGGTGCATTCTTCCCTTTCACACTAACTGGGTACCGAAGCCGGGTGGCAAGTCCTAGCAATCAAAGAGAGCATTGCAGTCAAACTCACTCATAATCATTCTGCTTGGTAAAATGCTACAGGAAACTCACTTATAAAATTCATCATTTACTCATTTTCTGCTCATCCTCTGTGTGTACATACACTACCATGCTATATGCTTTTATTCATTCAACAAACATTTTCTTTTAAATGCTGCAGTATTTATCAGGCACCATGCTAGCTTTCTCTTTTCTCAAATATTTTAAAGGATGTTAAAAGGTTTCTAACAGTTATTTCATGTTCTTTTCCAATATGAGAGCTGAACTGTAAAAGTGAATTATATCAGTCTGCTAAAAATGAAAGTTATTCACCTGACATGACTCAGTATTGGGGATCTTAGCATAAAAATTGGGCTGTAAGATACCAACAACTGGGAATACCAACTACTGGAAATCAGTGTAGATCTTTTAACCCAAGTTGCCTACAGCACTAAGTAAGAAATAGGAGGTGCCTCTTCCGTAAACACCTATAACATTCTGTATTTCCTCCACTACAGGATATTTCAGAGAAATTTAAAATTGTTACATACTTCTCTGTCTTCCCCCAAGTGTTAGTGTCTGGAAAAATCAGGATCAGTGACTACCCCTAGTCCACCACAATCTCCCCAAAACGTGGCTCTGTTTCTGGCATGCAGTAGGCACTTGATACATGTTTGTTGAATGAATTGAGATGACAGTGAAGAATAAAACTTATACAGGAATACAGAAAAAAAAATTAGGGAGCAAAAACTCCAAAAAAGAAAACAACAAAATGAGATATGAAAAGTTTCTCTGGGAATAAATTGATATGAACTTAGTTCCTCAAATGTTAAACACAGAGTTGCCATATGATGCAGCATACTCATAACTAGGTAAATACCCAAGAGAAATGAAAACATATTTCCATGCAAAAACTTGTACACAACTGTTCACAGAAGCATTATTCATAAGAGACCAAACGTGGAAACAATCCAAATGTCCATCAACTGATGAACAATAAACAAAATGCATACAATAAATTATTACTTGTCAATACAAAGGAATAGATACTTTTACCAGTAGGCTGCCTGAATTTAGAAATTCCATCTTCTCCCAGATCTCCTTCCTCCTGGTACAAACTAATTTCTTCTTTCTCTCTCTTTTTTTTTTTTTTTGGAGACAAAGTCTCGCTCTGTTGCCCAGGCTGGAGTGCAGTGGCATGATCTTGGCTCACTGAAACCTCTGCCTCCTGGATTCGAGTGATTCTCCTGCCTCAGCCTCCCAAGTAGCTGGGATTACAGGCACACACCACCACACCCGGCTAATTTTTGTATTTTTAGTAGAGATGGGGGTCTCACCATGTTGGCCAGGCTGGTCTCGAACTCCTGACCTCAGCTGATCTGACTGCCTTGGCCTCCCAAAGTGCTGGGATTATAGGCGTGAGCCACAGCACCTGGCCACAAACCAATTTCTAACGATGTGTTCAGGAAGTCCATCATAGCAATAAACATTAATGGTGATTTACATTGCCTAGAATCTCTAGTGATATTGTCAGCAATTTTTTTCCTTAACAACATTATATCTATAGTTTTTACAGATCTAGGCTGTGTCTTGGCTTCCATAAGTAGAAGAAGCATGACTCTCACACAACAGGTGGATGTTAAGATAACCCCTGTATTTGGAGACAGAAGGGTTGATCCCCTGTCTCACCACTTAGCATTATTATACTCAATTTGAAACTTTTATTTTACTTAAGAGTTAAATGTAGGCTTGTATGCTGGCCTGAGAACCTAACCATTCCACAAATATTGTGTTAGGCTCTGGGTTGTGACTTAATAATAGGTAGAAGTTATTGTGCAAGTACTATGTGCCAAGCCCTGTACATTTTGTTTATATTATATTGATTATTTCAATAAACTTGTGATGTATGTTTTTAAAAAAGGGAATGGAATACATGTACATACTACAACATGACAACATCAAAAACAATTATGTTAACTCAGAGAAGCTGGAAGACCACATATTCTATAATTCCATTTATATGAAATGTCCAGAAAGGGCAAATCTATAGAGACAGAAAGTAGGTTAATGGTCTGGAGCTGGGCTGGTGAAGGAAGATGGGGTGACAATTATTTGGTACAAGGTTTCTCTTGGGATGATGGCAATGTTCTTTAAAAAAAAAAATTAGAGTATGCTGATAATTGGGACAACTCTGCAAATATCTATCAACTACTGAATTGTATACTTTAAATGGGTGAACTTTATAGTATGTACATTTTATCTTAGTAACAGTTATCATTATCTGAAAAAAGTGAACAGTCACAAAACAACAGGCTTTGCAAAGGGTGCCTTCAATAAAATTTCAAAATTTTTCATAACTTGGGCGAAACACTTGGCTATTCCCACCCACTTACATTTTTAAAGTCAAAGGCTAGAAATCTTTCTATATAATCCTGTGGAACTTTAACTCTCATAAATGTGGATTCTGTTATTTTTTGGCATTCGACTTGTTCCCACCCTGGTACTAAGTGTACCAGAGCTTCAAGAAGATGGTTAACTTGTGGGACATGATTACTCTAGTCTTCTCTAGAAACCTACAGCCTAGGACTGCATCTAGGCTCATCTGGCATCTTCTGTGACGCTTCTGAAACAGACACATCTTGGACTTCAGTTTCGTATCAAGGACATATATACCACATAAAGATGAACTTTTTTTAACTTTTATTTTAAGTTCAGGGGTACAAGTGCAAGTTTGTTATGTGGTTAAACTTGTGTCATGGAGGTTTGTTGTACAGATTATTTTACCACCCAGATATTCAGCTTAGTACCGATTAGTTGTTTTTCCGGATCCTCTCCGTCCTCCCAAACTCCACCCTCCAAAAGCTTCGTGTATTGTTCCCCTCTATGTGTCCATGTGTTCTCATTATTTAGCTTCCACTTATAAGAGAGAACGTGTGGTATTTGGTTTTCTGTTCCTCTGTTAGTTAGCAAAGGATAATGGCCTCCAGCTCCGTCCGTGTCCCTGCAAAGGACATGATCTCATTCTTTTTTTATGGCTGCACAGATTCGCTGGTTTTCTTTACCCTATCACTGATGGACTTTCAGGTTGATTCCATTTCTTTGCCATTACGAATAGTGCGGCAATGAATATCCACATGCACGTGTCTTTAAAATAGAATGATGTCTATTCCTTTGGGTATATATCCAGTAATGGGATTGCTGGGTTGAATGGTGTTTCTGTCTTTACGTCTTTGAGGAATCGTCACACTGTCTTCCACAATGGCTGAACTAATTTACCCTCCCACCAACAGTGTATAAGTGTAATGTGAACATTTACTATATACCACTGGAATAACTCGTGTCCTAAGGTCAAGACAGAGATTTTTATAAAACCTGACATTATTTCTAATTTTTCTTTGTATATATTATTCCTTTAAAATACAATAATTTTAAATCAATCACATTCTACAATGAACTAACTACAAAACTGCTCAAGGAATTAATCACGATATCTGATCATTTTAATCACTACCTTATATTTGAAGTAGGTTTTAACAGCTCACTTACCTGCTGCATTGTGCTTATGATATTCAATAATCTCAGGAATGGAACCAAAAGCATGTTTTTCTGCTAGGTAATACTTCTTTGGAGATGTTGTTGTTTCCTTTATATGATAATGCCTAAAACCCGATGAACCTTCTCTAGAACAAAAATCAAAATGTGTCAGAACCGAGTTGAAATAATAGAACTTCATTCTTAAGATCTTTTCTATAAGGGCAACCACAGTGCCCCTTCATATGATCCCCTCTATTCCTGGCACAAATTTTATTTTCCCCATGTTCTTCTTAGCTTCGTCTTTCACATTAGCATGCCAAAGTTTTTAAAGTAAGCACTGAAAACATACTTGGCCCTTTGCATGAGATTGTGAAAGAGAACATTTATGCATTCCATTTAACAGCAGTTGGAAGTCTTAAAATAGCTATTAGCAGCTACTGTTTTTTATTCCTGCTGTTGCCTCAACTTACAAATGTCTAGAGCACTCAAATTGCCAATAGTGAATAAATTAGACTTGTAAACATTCGACTTTAGGTATCTTCCTAAAGCACAGATCTTCTTTAGTCCTCTCTTCTAAAAATGCTTTCAAGATGACTCCTGCTGCTCTTAGGGTAAAGCTCAGACTCACGTGAACTTGACTCCGCTAACTCTCAAGCTTCTATCTCCTCCCTTCACTCTGTTCTCCCATTCTACCATGCAGCTACGATATACTTTTCAGTGCCTTGAACTCACCACATCCTCTCTCCCCTCTAGGTCCAGGCAATTTCCTAGGTAAGAAACACTCCTTCCCCTCCCTCCAGGCTTTTCCTGCTCACCGGTCAGGTCTTACCCTGGATGCCACTTGGGAGAGCATTCATGACTAACTCAAGATGTGCCTGGGCTATATACCAACCCCCACCCCCTTCCCCCGCCACACACACACACATGACCCTCCCACTTGGCACTTACTACCATCACTGTCTGTTACTGGGCTGTAGCATCCACTAAGCTACTGGCCGGCAGGGTCTCTGCCTCCCTTGCTCATGTTTTTATCCGTAGTGAACCAGCACAGTTCACTATAATTATTTGTTGAATGTTACTAAAGTTATTACAGGCATACTCAACAAATATATATGAAAAACTATAAGGAAAATGACTGAAAATATAAATACAATAAACAGTATATACACTTTAGAAATCAAGTTCAAGTTTTCTTTTTAATGGTGAAATGCTGCATATTTTTATGAAAATTAGGAATCCATATAAGCTATATAAGAAGTTCACGCAAAAACTTTAAAAAAAAACAGCAGGATTACTCACCCTCCAAACTTGGTATAAAGGGAGACTGTGTACAAGCCTGGTTGACTAGAATCCCTTACCATAAAACCACCTTCTTTATCCTGAAATCCAAGTTAAGAAAAAAAAAAATGTTTTTGCTCCAACTACTAATAGCAATGCCATGGAGAAGACTGAAGAACCTAATATTATAATTTTATGATGATTATTCTTTTCCAGAAAATCTGCTCTGAAGACACACAACTTACCAATGGGGCCCTTTGGTTTCTACCACCCATATGACTTTGTAATTCAAATTACTGCACTATGAGAGTAGTTAAAGAAATCACACTCAATTCCCCACAATCATAAGTCCTCACACATGGTGAGACATTTCACTCAGATAATCTCCCAGTGCCTTTCCAGAAGTGAGAGACAAGATTTTGCAATTCCTTTAAGGCTTGGACAGGTAGGAAAACTATCATGGAAAAATGTATTTCTTAATGATTGAGTTTCATTTCATACATTTTTTTGTATTTGTTATAAGCTGATTCCTGACTCAGTATGATTTTCAATCCACATAGCATTTTTCCTATAAATGACTCAGTGTTTTTTATAAGAATGAATTTAAAAATTCTTAATTCTCCTAGAAGTTAAATGTCAGTCTTTTTTTTTTTTTTTTTTTTTTGAGTCAAAGTCTCGCACTGTCATCCAGGCTAGAGTGCAGTGGCACAATCTCAGCTCACTGCAACCTCCACCTCCCAGATGCAAGCGATTCTCCTGTCTCAGCTTCCCGAGTAGCTGGGATTACAGGCATGCACCACCATGCCCATCTAATTTTTGTATTTTTCGTAGAGAAGGGATTTCACCATGTTAGATAGTTTGGTTTCGAACTCCTGATCTCCAGTAATCCTCTCGCCTCAATCTCCCAAAGTGCTGGGATTACAGGCGTGAGCCACCATGCCCAGCCAAATATCAGTCTTTACAAAAGGAGAGATGGAGTCACAAGTAACTTAAGCAGAGAAAATCAAAAGCTGGAAACAATGCTAAAAGACTAAAGGTCAAATCTTTCTCAGGTTCCAAGCTGAAAAGCAACAAATAGACACTACGAACCTCAAATATCTCTCTGCTCAGTATTACCACCATCAATCTCTATCATTTAAATTGCTTTAAGATAAAAAAGTGTGTTTATTAGTTGAAAAATAAAATAAATTGTACTCTTGTTCATAGGAAAAACAGTGGAATTAAATAAGGCCCCACAAACACATCTGATAACAATTAGGGATAATCATTTTAATAATTGGTCAGTAAAAAGTATAACAGAGGCCAGACACAGTGGCTCATGCCTGTAATCCCAGCACTTTGGGAGACGAGGAAGGCAGATCAGTTGAGGTCAGGAGTTCAAGACCAGCCTGGCCAACATGGTGAAACCCCAACTCTACTAAAAATACCCCATCTCCACTAAAAATTAGACAGGTGTGGTGGTGCTTGCCTGTAATCCCAGCAACTTGGGAGACTGAGGCAAGAGAATCACTTGAATCTGGGAGGCAGAGGTTGCAGTAAGCTGAGATCACACTTCTGTGCCACTGCATTCCAGCCTGGGTGACAGAGAAAAACGCTGTCTAAAACACAAAAATACAGTCCAGCAACCTGCTTATTTCACTTATTTATTGAAAATTTATCCTTTTCTAATGTTCTAGCATATTAATTTAATAATCAAAACAGTCCTATTACATAGGTACTATTGTTTTCCCCACATTACTTCATAGGTAAGGAAATGACAAAAAGCTGGCTGGGTAACTTGCACCAGGTCACACAGGGTGGCAGAGCCAGGATCTGGCCCCCAGGCTGCCATTTGGCTACTCACTCCCCTACAGCAGCCTCTCACTGTGGGGTCTCCAGAGAGGCACGGAAGAATCTTGTGGGGGAGGAGGCATGGTTACGTGTAGTTAGAATCAAGCAAAGTCACCCACTCTTGTTTTTTTAACATCAACTACAAAAACAAGCACTCAACAAAATCTTGATGTGTGATAATAAGCAGGAGACAAAACAAGAAAGCATGAGTTTAAAAGACTGGAAACAATAACTAAATAGAATACTCGATCAGAAATGCAGAGAATTGTAGAGATCATCTTCTAGTCCAACTCCTTCTCTTACAGATGCAGAAGTAGACTAGAAAAGTCACAGGTAGACTCAGGTCCCCTTACTCAGCACAGGGTTGTTCCCTCTATATATTTTACTCTTCGATTTTATTTCTTTTTAAAGGTATAGCAATTTCAGCACATTTATTTCTAAATAGAATTAAACATCTATTAATGCTTTGTTTATAAAAGACATTATGTAATATCAATGTAAATTATTTAAAAATAACTAACTTCAAGCCAAAAAAAAAAAAAAAAAGGAAAGAAAGACAAGAAATACTTAAGTACTATAAGTTAAGGTAGCAAATGATCAATCAGGAAGAAAGCATGAGAGTAAGCTTGCCCCTCATGCTAAGGAAAGTAAAAGTGTAACAACTGCAGCAAAATGAGGATGAGCCACCACAGGAGATTCTCCCTGCTAGGGAATATAATGCAGGACTCAGAGACTGAAAAGACCTTTAACCAACTACTGGCTGGTCCTAGCACAATAGTGTTTACTACTAATGGATGACAACCAGTTACAAATTTCTTTTTTCCTTCTCTACTCCCACTGCTTTACTTGATTAGCCTTTTACCCATTTATGCCTAGTGTTCATTATTGAAACACTAAACTTATGGGAGTTATTTATATCCTCTGCTCAGAGTCATCACCAAGGTCTGATTTTTCACACACAAAAAATTTGCAACCTCTAGCATAAATGAGTTAAAAAAACAAAAACAAAAAACAACTACCTAGGGAACACCTGGCTGCTTGAATGGTCTAACTGTGGGACACAGTGGATGATGGTATTTCCCTAGCAGGAATGAAGCAGAAAAAAATGAGTGACATTACTACCCACCCAGCTCTGCAGCAACACCTTCAGAATGCAAGGCAAACACAAGGGAATTGTAGCCAGATGGCCTGGATCAATCTGGCTGTCACAAAGGTTTGGTCTAATTAAGGAAATTTACCAGGAGGGACAACCTCATGGTGGTCAGTGGAAAGGCCCAGGGGCTTTTCTGAGAATTAAGAATGAGGCAAGCCATCTATGCCCAGGTTTTTGTGGGGCTCGATAAAGCAGTTTTCACTTTCATGATGAAAAATAAATTGCTACAGGGTACAATGTAACCTAACAAGTGCTAACAAAAGGGAAAACTAAAACTTATCTGAAAGCTAGTAATGGCAATTCTTTATGAAAGCTGCAGGTTTGCTTCTGTGTGCCCGTATGCCTATATGTCTACATGTGTTATGTGTAGGTGACATTTCTATGCAAACTAAGAAAACCTTTGGTAAATGAAACTAGTTTTTAAATTGTTGGCAAAATAAAATAGAAACATCTTCAGAATTTAATTCAGACATTTTGCCTAGATCTACTGGTCAGACAGGTTTAAGTTGTCTCTGCTCAAGTTCATAAAACTGCTGCTTCTGTGCTTTTCATACTTGCTTGACTTGTATGTGAGCTTAATTAAAATTAATCACTTCCTAGGTTTTTTATTGGAAAATAGGGCTACTAAGAATTACAATAGTAACTAGTGTATGTAATTACAACTACTAGATGTCAGAGAAATAATTCTATATACAGAGTATATAAAGAAAGTAAGACAAGTTTTGGTGGAGAAGGCTATATAAAAAATATTAGGATGTAGTTTTTCCTTAACAAAATAACTTTTTACTAGTTTAGAGTTATTTAAAGGTTTCCAAATGAAGTAAAAAATGATATAGATAAAACTAAGTGACTAGAAAGAGAATGAGGAAAAAGTAAGGAAAGAGTCATGGAACTTATCCCAGCAGAGAGGAAATCTTTAGATGGTTCTTTAAAAATCAAATGAATAAAATGGAAATTTATAGGGTTAAAACAAAGGTCTTAAAACAACACTACTGGAGGTTATGTGGACCAAAAGGAGCCCCTGCTGGTTTCCCAACATTAAAGAGCCCAAAATCAGTTTGCTATATCCCCAGTCTATAGAAACGTTAAAAGCTAAAAGAAAGAAATTATAATGAGAAAGCTGACCAAGAATTGCTTCAGGGCAGAACTGAAACAGGTTGATCAAGATAAAGACTGACAAAAGGGCCAGCATGCTGTGGCTCAATCCCCTGCTGGGAAGCCAAAGCCTTTTGCACAACAGAGGGTAAAATGTTGTAGACTAGAGAAAATAAGTTTCTGAAACTAAAACATAAAAATATAAGGGTTTATAAGACTATGAAAGTTGGAGTGTTTGAACAGGCTTTATGTAAAGTAGCTGTGTCTCCTTTATCTAAATGTTTTATGGGAATGAATACTGTATCTGACTAGGGAATGTTTCTTCTACTGTAAAACAGAGGGCATGTAAATCTGCCCTTCAAGCAACGTCAATTGGACATACTAAATGGGAGCCAGTATGACTGCCTAAGCTCATAGTGTAGAGAAAGTTGGAATGCTGGTAGGGACAAATTTTCTATTTGATAGTCCTTTGTTGAGTGTTTACTAGTTCTTATGGCAAAAGCTAGTGAGCACCTCCCAGTGACAACTACTGAGACTCCGAACTAGAGAATTTCTACTAGAGGGGCATTTACTGACTTGCTATGGATGCTAACTATAGCTACATCTATGACTGAAGAACATAAAGTGATCTTGACACCTGAAATATCCATATTGTCTCAGGTGATGTCAGAGGAACATTCTAATGGAGATAGCAGTGTCTAACAGAGTTCCATCATAAAATGGAAATAGTTTACATAGGATTATGCTATCTGGTGGGTGCAAGGAGGAGACGCTCATGAGCAGAGAGCCTCTCCAACCCAAAGACTGAACTGTGTGAGTAGCTGCTGGATTTGACAGTGCCCAATAAACAGCTCTCAACTGACCAGTCAAGAGCTGCTTGGTTTGTAGATGGTGGTTCCAAGGTGAATGGACAACATCCTGTGTGGAAGGCTGCTACTCTGAAGAAGAGTCAAGAAAACATGTTTTTGTTTGTTTTAAACTATTTAAAGCTTATAGCAACTGAGTCAAGTATATTTTTGAGAGCAAAACTAAAGCACTAAATATTCTCTCCACCTGATTTCTCCAAAATTTGGAAACTATTTGTGAGTATTCTTATTTTGTGACAATATAGTTACTTGCATAAATTCAATAAGAAAATGTTTTCCTTTGTAACAGGACATACTGGGGACACCAGTATGTCCTGCTATAATAACCACATTGGTATTTTACCAAAGCTTTGGGCATGTGAAATTGTAAGGGCCAGTTTCGAGGGGTAGCATGTAGGAAAAAACAGCCTGTTACATGGCAAGAGTGATGTCATCTAGCAGTGAAACCACAATGATGACCAGTGTTCGATCCCCACTTGGCAAGGTATTTAAACAATGCTTTCATATACATGCTTATCTAACTTCATCAGTAGTCACAGGTGTTTGGTAAGAAAGTCTGAAGACATGTCCAGCTGTACGTGTTTTACCCTAAAAGTCTGCTATATAAAGAATACTTTCTGGAGGGCGGGTGAGGGAATACACTGTCCTGAGGCCACTTATGATTACTTTGGTTTGTAAGTCCCAATTAAACATTTCTTTCTAAGAAACTGAATTTTTCAGTCTCTTTCTGCAGCCTCTCAGCTCCCTCAGAGGCCTCTGGGGATAGTTTCCATTAACTTGCTCACTGCTGACAAATTTAGAAAGAGAGATATGTGAAACTACTTATTAGGGATTCATTAAAATTAATTTGCTCTTAATCCAAGCCCACAAGTACAAACACTTACTTCACTTCGGAGGAGTTGCTCTGCCTTGCTTCTATTCATATTTCTACAATACCATCTGAACAGAAAAAAAAAAATACATTTCAGGAATCAGGTTTTTAGAATATATTTTAGTCTTTTCAGGATTAATAAGGTAATGCTGCTCATCAATAATAAATATAACAAATAAGAACAAATTAAGATATCACTCATAATTTCGACAATAGACAACTAGTAATTTTGATGTATATATTTCCAGAATTTTTCTACCCATATTTCTATGAAAACATGTATGTATGCCCATATTCTCATGTTTTATTAAAGTCAGATCAAACTACATAGGCTATACTATAACCTGAATTTTTCATATAACATTATAAGATATTTTTGCAAATCAATATAAGTATGCATTATAGTATGCATGTGCCATAATTTATTTAAGCTTTCCTTCACTGTTCTACATAAAAATCACTTTCAGTTTTTCACTACTAAAATCACAGCAAGAATGAGTTTTACTCCACTGACTCAAACATACAGGGAGTGTCACTTTGTATTATTGTCTTTAATTCAAACTAAATCTTATTTCAAGCCCTCCTCTTATCAATATGACAGCTGATTTCATTTCAGGTCATTATGGAGGCTCCCTCACTGAATTTCACAAAGGTTCCAGGTGACAAAAGAAACAGAGCAAAACATAAGCACAGGCCTCCTGGGTCTTCAGACTTGCTGGTTTCCAGCAGAGCCCCAAGTTCTGTGGTTGCCCAAGACTCTATTGTAGAAATGTCTGCCTTGACCAAGCAACTGGTCTGCCCTCCCACCCAATCTTGCCACCACCCTGTACCACATCCCAAGGCCCTGCCAATCTGTACCTTCTCTCTCTCTCTCTTTTTTTTTTTTTTTTTTTTTTTTTTTGAGAAAGAGTCTTGCTGTTACTCAGACTAAAGTGCAATAGTACAATCTCAGCTCACTGCAATCTCCACCTCCCGGGTTCAAGAGATTCTCCTGCCTTGGCCTCCTGAGTAGCTGCAATTATAGGCATGTGCCACCACACCTGGCTAATTTTTGTATTTTCAGTAGAGACAAGGTTTTGCTGTGTTGGCCAGGCTGTCTTGAACTCCTGGCCTCAAGGGATCCACCCACCTTGGCTTCTCAAAGTCCTGGGATTACAGGCGTGAGCCACCATGCCTGGCCCTGTACCTCTTCTCATCCTTTGGAAAACCCTTTTCTTGATACTGTCATCACCCACCTCATCCTCAGACATATTCACCTCTCTCCACTTTCCCCCAGCATAATCAATCCCTCCATGTGATTTAAGTCAATAGGTCATAAGAACATGAACTCAGACAATTTTCTTTGGCCTTTGGTTTTTAAACTTATTTTGTTAGATCCTTTCTCTTTGGCAAGGAACTCTACACCGCGGTAATACACCCTGAGACTTCGAATGTTATAAAATCAGCTCAGCTCCTCTGGACATTTAAATTTCAGGGCACTGCTTCGGCCTTCCATAAGAGAACCAGCACCTGCTTTGGGCCCAAGAAAAATCCTAAAACAGGGAAACATACTGCCTTCCCTGACTAAAGAAGGGAAAAACACACAGAATAAAAAAGACAATACAAGATATTTTTCTGTCCAGATTCTTTTATGTAGTAGCCAAACGCAAATTACAGCCTCAATCTGAGCTACAGATTGTTAGATATTTTATTTGGAATCTGAAGTGTTGAACCAGGCCTCAGAATTGTCAGCATCTCCTTACATGGACCCCGCTTTATGAAATGAGACCAATTTCAACAAAATTGCAGTTGTGATCAATACATTTCTGAGTGCAATTGAGAAATATAATAAATTAGGAGAACAGAATTCTGTCCCTAACACTTTTTCACTGATACAAGAAACATTTGTCAAGTGCCAAAAACATTCACAAAAATTAACTAAGGAAATATAACTGGAGCTTTAATTATAAATTATAAACTAGCAGGATTTGAGAGATTGAAAAAAGTTATTAATAACAGAAGATCCAGTCCATCTTTACAATAAGAGTAAATAAAGGAGATTTCATCTTGGGCTCAGATATAAGAAATCAGTGAAGCTAAAATGTGGCTTTCAGGAGGAAATAGACATAAGATACTCAGAAAAGGAGGAGGCCCCTTCCTCATCTACTGTATTCCAGCTCCTCAGAAAGAAAGAAGGAAAGAAGGAAAAGAGGAATCCACTGCACAAAGGGCAGGCTCTTGAAAATCCTGTTCTGAGGGGTCATTTTTATGGCATTGGCAAGTTCCCTGGAAAGGATGTTTCCTTCCTTACGACATCAATTCAGAACTTTCAGTATCTGTTGAAAGCTACAAAGGAGGAAGGAGTCATGGACAAAAAAAGAGATAAATTAACTCATGGTCAGGATTTTCTAACAGCTCAGTTCTTGGTGGCTTCTTTCTCCTCTCCTGTGATTATCTATCCCCAGGCAAGAAAAAAAAAAAAAGACAACAGTGGTTCCCCTGAATTCTCCTGTCAGAAAGAACTATACACATAGGTAAAGTGTGACACAGATACCACACACCTCTATAAAGGAATATCTGAGGCTGGCTAATTTATAAAGAGAAGAGGTCTATTTGGCTCATGGTTCTGCAGGCTGTACAAGAAGCATGGTGCCAGCACCAGCATCTGGAAAAGGCCTCAGGCTGCTTCCATTCATGTCCAAAGACGAAGGGGAGATGGCATGCAGAGATTACATGGCAAGACAGAGAAAGCAAGAGAAGAGAGAGGCTCCAGGCTCTTTTCTTTTTTCTTTTTCAAGACGGTCTTTCTCAGTCATCCAGGCTGGAGTGCAGTAGTGCGATCTCAGCTCACTGCAACCTCTGCCTCCCGGGTTCAGGTGATTCTCCTGTGCACCATGTTGGCCAGGCTGGTTTTGAACTTGTGACCTCAGATGATCCACCCACCTTGGCCTCCCAAAGTGCTAGGATTATAGATGTGAGCCACCGTGCCTGGCCAATTTTTGTATTTTTTAGTAGAGATGGGGTTTCACCATGTTGGCCAGGATGGTTTTGAACTCCTAACTTCAAGTAATCCACCCACCTCAGCACCCAAAGTACTGGAATTACAGGTGTGAGCAACTGTGCCCAGCCTTGGCTCTTTTCAACAACCAGTTCTTGTGGGAACTAAGAGTGGGAACTCACTTCCTTGAGAAAGGTACAGAGCCATTCATCATGGCAGAGATGATCTCCCCCCAGGCCTCTGCTCCAACAATGGGGATCAAATTTGAAATGAGCCAGATGAGGTAGTGGGCACCTGTAATCCCAGCTACTCAGGAGACCAGGGCAGGAGAATCACTTGAACCTGGGAGGTGGAAGTTGCAGTGAGCTGAGACTGCACCACTGTACTCCAGCCTAGGTGACAGAGGGAGACTCTGTCTCAAAAAAAAAAAAAAGAAAGAAAAAGAAAAGAAAGAAAGAGAAAAAAAGGGAGAAAGAGAGAGAGAGAGGGAGGGAGGGAGGGAATGAAGGAAGGAAGGAAGGAAAAATGAAGGAAGGAAGGGAGGAAGAGAGGGAGGGAGGGAGGGGTAGGGATTTTAAAAAGCATTCCACAGAAAAGCTTTATTAGAGGCTAATACCTTTCCATAAAGGAACTATACATCTAGAAATGAGGCCCTGAATTTGTAGGTAATTTGTCAGATTGTTCTTAGATGTTAAAATTCTAATGTGAATTTGTTTTTCACATTAGCTGATTTCCCCAAAATAGCAGTGCCAATAAGGAAAGAAGAGGTATGAGGGCATTTCGTCTTTTAACCTGGAAAGGTCAAACCCTTGCCAAGTTTCTTGGTGAGGACGGGTGAGAGTAAATCATGAAAAGAAGACAAGAGGTAGAAATAAAGGAAAAACATAAACCCAACCAGTTATGCATCTTAGCTTGTTCTCTAATTTTGCCCCCAATAAGTCACCCCATGCCACCCACTCAAAGCCTTTATCCTAAACCTTTTCTAGTTCTAAGGGCCCTTTTATTTCAGTCACCTTCTCCCTTTAATGTCTTTCCATCAAGAACATTCTCTCATTAACCATCACAATGAATCCACTTTCTTTTCCAGCACTGATCTCTCTGACCTTCTCCTCCCTACTTTGGTGACGGGGTATGGAGGAAAGAACTAGGTTACTGACAGCACTGGGAGCTGCAGGCCTGGAAATCCTGTGTTCAGCCCAGTGACAGTCTGTGGCCTGGGATTCCTCCTGGGCCCAAGCAAACAGCAGAACTGTTCACTCCACAGCTGGCAGAGGCTTTTGTTTTCTTAAGTTCCTGAGAACATTTAAGTTGCTGTGATGGTTAATATTGAGTGTCAACTTGATTGGATTGAAGGATGCAAAGTATTGCTCCTGGGTGTGTCTGTGAGGGTTTTGCCAAAGGAGATTAATATTTGAGTCAGTGGACTGGGAGAGGCAGACGCGCCCTCAATCTGGTTGGGCACAATCTAATCAGCTGCCACCACAATCAGAATAAAAGCAGGCAGAGGAACGTGGAAAAACTAGACTGGCTTAGTCTTCTGGCCTACATCTTTCTCCTGCGCTGGATGCTTCCTGCCCTCGAATACTGGACTCCCAAGTTCTTCAGCTTTGGGACTCAGACTACCTTCCTTGCTCCTAGCTTGCAGATGGCCCATTGTGGGACCTCACCTTCTGATTATGAGTCAATATTCCTTACTAAACTCCCCTTTATGCAGACATCTATCCTATTAGTTCTGTCCCTCCAGAGAACCCTAACACAGTTGTGTTACAGGATGGGCTGTGACCAAAGCAAAACAAAGCAAAATAAAACACGGAGAAGGAAGACAGCAGAATAGGGTCTCTGCCTCCCCACGTGGGAACAGGTTTCCCCTTGGTCATCTATTGGGCATGGCACAAGGCCACGTGGACTCCCTCGCCTCTGTACAGAAGGTGAGGGCACTCCCAGGCTGGAGACAGAAGTCCAGGGTTATGAAGAGGAAGAAAATCTCTCAGAGAGAGACAATTTCCAAATTAAGGTACATTCAAAACACTCGAGGCCTTGAATCATAAACTTCAGGATTGAACAGCCTCATTTGAAATCACATGAGTCATAAGAAGAGTTCTCACATTTAGATAAGGATTATCTGGCTTCCAAGCATCCTCTCTCCTCAAATTCAATCAGTTCTCAGGGCTATCATTTTAAAACCAGGCCTAAGTTTTCACCTTTTAGCACCTTCCCTAATTCTAAGGATTTTACAATTTTTCCTAAAATCTATTGGACTTAAGAGCAGAAATGCTGCTTTATTTATATACTGTTTGTACTCCCTCCTACGTCTAAAACTACTTTGAGAGATCACACCCCACTGAGGGCTGTGGCCTTTTGAACTTGTTAACCGTTTCCTAGATGTTACGGTACACTTAATGGTACAGCAAGTGACACAGAGAGAACAGCTGTTGTTGCTGTTGTTTTTAAAGAAGTGAATGAAGCATCAATACACCACCTCAGAATGACAAGAAAAGAGTTTCTGATGTATATGAGCCTCACATTACAACTTGGCCACATGCTGCTAGTGGGCATATAAATAATACAAGTTATCTAGAAAGCAATTTGACAGCATGTGTCAGGAGCCTTAACGATGCTCATACATAGCTTTTAGCCCAGTATATAGCTTTTAGAGATCCAGTGTAAGATAAGAAACAAGAGGTTATTTCATTTTTTTTAATATAACAAAGGTACCTAAAACAACCTAAACCACACAAATAAGGAAATGATTACATAAATTATTGGACAGCCGCATGCCATTTGCCTGGTTATATCCCTAAGGCCGTTCATAATGCTTGATACATGCTAAGACTCAGTAAGTATTTAATAAATTTATGATTAAATGAAATAAAATGTAGCTGGGAAAATGTTTTCAAAGAATATTAAAGTGTATGAGGAAATAAGCATGATTCTGTCTTTTCAAAAATAGTAAAAAGATTGAAAGGAAATAAACTAATGCTGACAAAGGTCAACTCTGATTGATTTATGAGTAATTTTTTCTTATTAATATTTCTACTCTGGAAACGGTTATGTCCTGAATGAATGGACATGATCTGTATTTCTAGCTAATCTGTGATTTATTTCAAATTGATTCAATTATACTTCTTTAAGTACATAAGCTTATATAACTCCATTCACACACAGTACCTTTAAAAAATAGGTATTATAGAGATTAATTCTCAGTCTTTTACCACATCAGACAACTGAATTAAAGATATTTTAGCACCGCCTTCAAAGGATCACGAAAGATAACCATTAATATTCAAAATGCCTTACATAATCAGGAAAATGAAAACGTTCTGATTTTCCACACTCACAAAATAAACATGTACTTACTCATATTGATCTAAGTTGTTTGATTTCTTTCCCGTTACATAATTACTTGGGATATATCCTTCATTCCTAGAAATAATAAAAATACTTTAGGTAAACTAAAATTACTTTACTGGGAGGTAATTAAAAGAAAGAAAGATTATTGCCTTTCTGAAATAAAGCATAATGTTGCTTAAAGCTTATAAGAAAGACTAGCTGACCCCCGCCTCCAAAATTCAATATCTGTAATTCATGTGACATTTTACAAAGTACTTTCACTTTTGATTCCCTAAAAAAATTTGCTGTAGGCAGGCATTATTGTACCCATTTTCTGGTAGATAAACTAAAGCTGAGAAAGATTATGGAATTTTTTTTTTAAGGTCCTAAAGTTAACCAGTAACAGGACCAGAACTCAAACTCTGGACTCGTGACTAGGTCCTGCTCTCTTCCAGTATTCCACAATACTTCTCCAGAATTCACAGTTTTGGTTGTATGTGTTAAAGAAAGCACTACTCCAGAAAAGTCAAAGTGTTGGATTAAAAACACTCAACCACTCTAATACCTCAATCGTTTTTATAGAATAGTTTCACAAAGGTTAATTCCTGACTTTTGGGTCAGTATCATCTGGGGCACTTGTTAAAACAGCAAACTCTTGGGTCATAACCCAGTAACTGTGAAAGGAGCAGACCTACATGAGTCCAAGAGATGTCTGATTTTACCCCAGATAACTTTTACTCACATCACAATTTAAGATTCACTCTTCTGTCAATAGGAGCTAGCATAAGAAATGAAATACACATATAAAATTTAAAAATTGAGTAGAAACCTTATAATCTTACATTTGAGTTTAATGTATTAGTAAGAACTCATAATATACACACACACTAATGTGTGCATACAGGTAGCTCTGTTGCACTGAGAAAGGCTTAGAAGCCATGGCAATCCAGCAGTAATTAGAATCTTAGCATCGCCACTATCTCTAAACAACATTTATGACTAAAAGGAACCAGTCCTCCTTAGAAAAATGTCAAATTGTGTTTGGGGCAGTGGCTCACACCCGTAATCCCAGCATTTTGGGAGGCCGAGGCAGGCGGATCATTTGAGGTCAATAGTTTAAGACCAGCCGGGCAACATGGTGAAACCCTGTCTCTACTAAAAAATACAAAAATTAACTTGGTGTGGTGGAACATGCCTGTAATCTCAGCTATTTGGGAGGCTGAGGCAGAAGAATCACTTGAACCTGGGAAGCGGAGGTTGAAGTGAGCCGAGATTGTGCCACTGCACTCCAGCCTGTGAGACAGAGTGAGACTCAGTCTCAAAAAAAAAAAAAAAAAAGAAAGAAAAGAAAAGAAAAATAGAAAAGAAAAACCAACAGGGTCTTCTACCAAAAACAGCTACCATCGACCTAAAATTGGCAATTCAAGCAAAAAGAAAAATGGTGGCAATAGATTGAAACCAAATATACAAGTATCCATAATAACACTAAAAACCTGTTGGTTATCATTGTTATCACTAGAGAAAGCTCAGTCATCAACTCATAATTCTGAAAATTAGCAGTAGTTTAAGAATCCAAATTTCATCTTTCCTTTTCTTCATAAATGAAATGAACGGGTGGATGAGGCAGTTCTTCTTTAGAAAACTAGCAAATGCAGATGGAATGACAAAATTAGGAAATCACCATTTTGCAATCCCTAATGAAATAATGACTCTAGGAAAGAATCATTAATGAACCCCCAAATTATCAGGGTAAACACTGATGAAGAACTTTATGACAGAGGAACAAGGCTGACACCTAAAGCACTAAGCAATCTTAGCATTATTAAAAGTAGGACAGCCAGAGATCACCTTCTAAAGTGTTCAAGCCTCTAGATCTAGTTTCCAGTTTACAGGAAATACAAGAAACACAGGCATATTAAGTGACACCACAATAAAACAATCCGTTTAATCTAGATAATGGCTTATTTTAGTGTTAAATGACCTGGTTCCCTCAATAAATAAAAAACGTAGAATAAGAGAAACATAAGAGATATAGTAACCAAAATGCAATGCGTAGCTCCTGCTTTAAACAAACCAACCGTAAAAACAAGTATTAGAGCTAATCAGGGGAAACTGGAATTACATCATTGGCTCCATCCTTAGACCTGGGCCAGAGAAGCTCTTGATCTGACCTCACACTTTTGAGAGCTCTGCAAAAACCCATGTTCCCTCTGAGCTGTGCTCCTTTCTGGATTAACTAGGGCCCCAAAATTCCGTGCTCACTTCCAAGGTCTGCATGGGTCTTCTTCTGGGTCCATCTTCCACAAAACAGATTGTGCTGGCTGGCCATGTGCATTCACTTTCACCAAAGCCGAAGGTGTGGCCATGATGGGGGGCAGCTTTTGCCTTTTGCAAGCCACACAGAAAGAGCATGGGTGTAGGGGTTGGAAGATCCATATGGTGCATAAGAGATAGAGCCAGGGTAGGAGGAAAGAAAGAAAAGAGGTAGCCCCCGGGGCCAGCTTTCCATGCACTGTGATATTCCGGCACAGAGCTCTACATTCAAACCATACCTTTCTTGTCAATATGAAAGGGTATTTGTCAAGTTGGAGGAGAAATTATATTTTATTTTCCAGTTTGTTAGCTTGATTTGCAACTTCTAAATACATAGATATATGTTATGTGGACTTTTGTACTCTTCCTCCACGTCCAAAAATATTAAGGGAAAGTCTACAGACAATATCATTTTTAAAACTATTATTAAGTATGACAATGACAGGGTGGTTTTTTTTTTCTTTTTTAAGTCTTTAGAAGTTAGATTTAGGAGTGAAATGACATGATGACTTGAATTTACTTTTAAATATCCTAGAAAACAATGGAAGGATTAGACTGGCAAAATGTTGGTAATTTTTGAAGTCAAGCAACAAGAGATTCCATTATACTATACAGTTTTGAGATGTTTGAAAATTTCTTCAATAAAAAATTTTTTTAAAAACCTAATACAGCATCTGATAAAGAGAAGCAGTGACAATCTTCCTGTAAATATGGAATTAAAGGTTAAGAGTTGCAAAGAACTTAATAATGCGGCCAAGTGCAGTGGCTCACACCTGTAATCCCAGCACTTTGGGAGGCTGAAGCGGGCAGATCATGAAGTCAGGAGATTGAGACCATCCTGGCTAACACGGTGAAACCCCATCTCTACCCAAAATACCAAAAATTAGCTGGACGTGGTGGCATGCGCCTGAAGTCCCAGCTACTCAGGAGACTGAGGCAGGAGAATCACTTGAACCCGGGAGGCAGAGGTTGCAGTGAGCCAAGATCGTGCCACTGCACTCCAGCTTGAGTGACAGATATTCCATCTCAAAAAAAGAAAGAAATTAATTAATAATGCACAGCAAAACAGCACTCAGATTTGTGCCATGCCTAGGAATCAAGCAGAAGAGAAGAACCCTGCCTAAACCAGAAATTTCCGCTGCTTCTTCAAAAGTGAATTGAGGAACAGTGACTTGAAATTGGGGCTGGGGCTGGCAGGTGAGAGGAGAGGTGGAAGAAGAGGGTGCTCCAGCAGGACAAAAAGTCCTGCTCTTCTCATCTACTGGAACTCAGAGTATAAACGGGATTGTACTGCAGAAGTAAATATAGGATACAGAGTTTTCTTATGAAGCCTGAAATACTCTCATTTCCTAGAGTTACCCATATCTGCCCATGTTTATCAATGATAAGGTTGAAAGGACTGTTTTCTTCAAATCCTAAATTATCTTGTACAAAAAAAAATGCTTGCTGTTAATTTCCTGCATGTACATATGTATGTATTTTATATATACATGCACAAACACATGCACACACATATAGATACACACACACACACACACACACACACACACACACACATATATATACTCTCTCACTCCTCCATATATAAACATGGAGAGAGAAAGACAGAAGTCAAGTGAGAAGAGGCTTCAGTACACTGTGTATGTGTATACATACACACACACATACACACACACACACACACACACATACACATACGTACATATATATAGATAGAGATTCTAAGAAAAAAATTACAGTAAACTTTCTTAGAAAAATCTAAGATTACTTACTTATGGCAAGTGGGAACAAAATACAAAATTTAATTTCCCTCACTGTCAAAATACTCAAATTAAACATATATCAGATGAGAAAGAGACCAATGTATTTTAACTTTTGAAAAGAATTGATTTATCAATTTGCATTTATCGAGTGACCACTGAGAAAGTGCTGTGTTACTACAAAGTAATAATGTGTCCTTCCATTTATGGCTGGTGAAATCTGTCTCATTACATGATAGTTAGGACTCATCCTCTTCTCACTCAACACTTGACTCCCACCCACCCACTGCATGTCACACACAGAGAGGGAATACTTACCCATATTTATCTCTTGCTCTCCACCAATGAATATCATTCTTTTCTAAAATGAGATATTCTTGACCTCTCTCTAATCTGAGATCATGTCCTTCTGTTGCTTGGAAATCATACATGGCTACAACGATATCTTCACTACTATCTTCTTCTTCCAATGGAATTGGTGGGGGAGGCCTTCGCTAAACAAGTAAGATAACATTTGAAAGTTTAGTCTTCTATTTGAAACTGATCACGAATCAAAACAGTAAATGAGTCATACAGCACCACAGAATGAAATAGAGACCTCAAGTCTACCTAATGTAATCCAGTGAACCCTCATGAAGAAGAGTATTATAATCCCTTTTTCATAACTAACGTAACAATGATTTAAGTAACCCATTGAAAGTCACTCATATCAGATCAGGTCTTGACTGGGTCCAAAGTGAATGTTTTCTCCATCATACCCCACTCCTGAAAGGTATATCATTGTATCACTGAAGTCACTTCTTTGTTACACTGTGGTCTTAAGATTGAAATATTTCTGTAAAGTCCCACTCCTCTTAATACAACTATTTAAGTGAAAATAGAGGCAAAATGCCAGATGATACAGGTTCTCCAATGATAAAATCTCAATACAATTAAATTGGTATTATCTGACACCACAAAAAACTGAAATAAGCTACAGCATATCTGCTTCTGAGACAATCCCAGGGGAAAATGGCGTCACATGAATGAATAAACCACATACTCAATAAACCACAAACATCACGAAAACTTAAGATTTAAAGGCTTAAAATGTGAAGATTTTACTAACAAAAGTTCAAGACCACCTACCTTCTTTGTTTCTGGTGCTGGAGGTAATGCTTTTCTTATGCCTGAAAATGCCAACAACAAAAACAGGTTAAATCTAAACGATTGATAAAGATAAGATACTGGTAGTTTTAAGGAAAAGTGGGAATTAATACACAGACAAGCAGCACACTCTGACCAACTCTGGTGTATGCTGCTTGTATCTCTATTCTGGAACAGAATTAAAAACTACTACAGCTGGCCTGTATTTCTGCCTTCCTGAACAGACTATAAATGCCATAGGGATTGAGGCCAGGCCAGTTCTTCGTATTCCCACCACTGCATAAACAGGGCACTCAACAATGTTCATAGAATCAAACAGTACATTGAAATCATGACAGCTCTGAGAAATTAATCAGCTTGGGCAGTCTGTCCCTTCCTCTACAGTCCACAGTCCAAGGGTTTTGGCTGACACATGGCTACCCAAGATAAAGACTATTTTCCAGCTAGGTGTGGCAATGGGACCAAATTGTAATTAAAGAACTCGGCATACAAATGGGGTGTGCCATTTTTAGATGTCATCCCTAAAAGGATTTCCCATGGGCATCCTTGACCCCCTTCTTTCTGCTTCCAGGAAGAGAGAGACTGCTGGAGCTGAAGCAACTCCAGGAAGCACTGCAGAAATACCCCACCAGCCCCAGATCACCCACCTACCACCTCTGGATTATTACATTAAACTAAATAAATTTCTCTCTGGTTTAGTCACTGTAACTTTTGGGTCTCTTTTTATAGCAGGTCAGGTTGTGCGTTCACTAATACCAAACCTTAAGACATTAAACAAAAAAAGAAAAGAAAGAAACAAAAGCAGGCTTAGAAACTTAGGCCTTCCTCTTAGAACTGAGAGCTGGATGGACTGAGGAGGTCATCTGGTCTAGGCTCATGCATAATACAGCATCCCTGCCAAGTAGTAGTTCTGCTCATATCCAGAAGCTCTGTCAGTTCTGATGGACCCAGTGAGCATTCCGTATGGCACCAGGAGGAAAATAGAAGTATGGTACACCCAATCATTACTATGGGTGTCTTATTACAGCACTAGCAACTTACAATCTCTGCGTATTTTTAGCTTATGATTAAGGGCCGCTCATTCCCAGGATTTATAAGGGTCTTAGGTGCCAAATTAACCTTAGACATTGTTGTTCATCTCAATATTTACATGTGAGTATCATTATGATATCTTACTGTTCTAACAGACTGAAGCCACTACTGCTATGCCCCATCAAAATGAGCATGGCCTTAATCAGACTGTGGATGCATTGCTACATGAGGTTTCTAGCTCCACATCTTGGTTTATTTGCTGAGGAACATTAATGCTTTTCAAAGCTGCTGACAGTGCCACATTAAACTCACACTTCCAATGGATTCATTATTAACAAGTTTCAATATTGCTATAAAAGCTTCCCAAAATAGACCTTTTGATTCCATCAGAAGGTCTCACTGTAACTAAATATAATTTTTCTTACAAAACACACCTACCCTGAATTTCCATTGTACTAGAAAGTGTGCTGTACTTAATCAAAACCATGTCACTTTCTTGCCATACCAATAACATGTTCATTCTGAGTGCAATACAATTATGAAATAAAGAGAATACTTACTACTCTCAAAAAGATTGTATTTTTCACATCCAGGTGCTAATTTTTCAGTTTGTCTACAACACTGATAACTTCCATCTGTCCAGAATTTAGGATGATATTTAATCATAATATTGTTGTTGTTCTTTATTTCTGTAATTCACAAACACAGTAATGATTAGTGAAACACAAAAGTGACTACAGAATGTTTCATAAGTAACACTGTTGATCATTACTTATTCCTTGGATACTATGTTCACTATAAGAATGCCTTTAGATCGTAGGACTCAGCATTCAGAAAAGCTATATAGTTCTCTTCGACCTCTTGTTTTCTGCTGTTGTTCGTGGTGGTGGTGGTAGTGCTGGTGGTGGTGGTGAAGCACCCTTCGACCGCTGTTACACCAATGATGGATAAATGCAAAAGTCAATCTGACACCATTTTATTCTGCAGGAGAAGCAATGAGGACTGTGCGGGTTAAACCCTTCATGAATATGTCAATCCATCCATACCAAATACTGACTGCATGGGCAATTTCTTAGAAAATGCCTAATTTGGGGCCAGGTGTGGTAGCTCATATCTGTAATCCCAGCACTTTGGGAGGCCAAGGCAGGCAGATCACCTGAGGTCGGGAGTTTGAGACCACACTGGCCAACATGGTGAAACCCTGTCTCTTCTAAAAATATAAAAATTAGCTGGGCATGGTGGTGGATGCCTATAATCCCAGCTACTCAGGAGGCTGAAGCAGGAGATCACTTGAACCCAGGAAGTGGAGGTTGCAGTGAGCTGAGATTGTGCCACTATACTCCAGCCTGGATGACAGAGTGAAACTCTGACTAAAAAAATGAAAACAAAAACAAATTCTGTTATCATAAAAGCTTGTGCTTTATCGCCTTCAGATATATTACACATTGAATGAGAGAATGTTTTTCTTAGAAACTAGAAAAAATCGGAATTTAAAAGGGAAGTTATCTTGAATATGCTGGTATCACAACCACAGCATATCCTTGGAGAAACACTTATTGTAGATTAAGAGATTATAAATGCAATAGATACATTAGCTGTATTTCTGTCTTAGTGATAGCAATATTTTATCTCCTAAAATTATACACAAAGGAATACCTCATTGTGAGTTTTACCTTCTTTTAACTTCTTCACCCACAGGTCCCTGCTTTGTGGACTAGGTGCAAAAATGTAAAGTGTGTTAGCATCATGAACAACCTAAAATAAAACACAAGATGGAACTGGTGAGAAGGGTGTAGACACAGCACTTCTGTCTAGCACAGAGCCCTTGGTACTATAGGCACCAATAATGATTCTCAGATAACTGAATGCAAGTCAGTAACTTCATATCCAGAAAGCTCAATTCCTTTCTTACAAAAGTACATCTACTTCTTCATTCTACATTAAGTAGGACACACGTTTTGTAAAGGACCATGTTTTATAGAAGAAAAAATATACAGACCAGGATAATTCATTAATCTCAGTATTCTTTCAATCCAATTAACCAAAGTTCCTTAGATAAACTTGGTGTAACAGATTCAGCATTTCTCTAAATAACATTTTAGATGAACGGGCTACTCTTTCAGCATCACTCATAGCTTCCTTTTGCCACTATCAATAACTGCAGTCGCTAATTGGATTAAGCACTGACTACCTCAGCACTGTGCTTTACAGACATGAACTCAATTAATCCTGCCATTGAGGTACGAGTTTTTCTATTTTATAAATGAGAAAATGAAGGCCTACCCAGGCCCCCGCTCCTGTGTAACTTCAGCAGGCACCATTCACGCGGCGCGCCCCGCAGACGCTGTCCCCTGACGTTGTGCTGCCTAACCTGCCCGTCGCCATTTGGCTGGGAATCCAGAAAGCCAGAATTTGGACTCCAAAGCCCAGCCTTTTAACCACAGTGTCTCACTTAGAGGTAGCCCTTGGTGGGCAATTACGTAGTCTTATTTTTAATATTTCTAATATTAATAAGATAACCCTGGGAAACTAACCCAGACATTTTGTCACTTTATTCTTGACGGTCAGTCACAAGGCAAAAAAACCCAGACTGGCTAAAAAGTAACACATGACTAGAAACCTCCCTTTGTCACGTCCACACCCACTGGATTGAAAACCAAATAGCTCTTTCGTTGATAAATGGCTATGTCTGTCCATATTCAATAGATAATTCCATCTTGTTCATTTAAATCAAAGAAGTAGACTTTTTTTTAAGAGACAGGGTCTCTCTGTCACCCATGCTAGATGACAGTAGTGCAGTTACACCTCACTGTAACCTGGAACCCCTAGGCTCAAGTGATCTTCCTGCCTGAGTCTCCCAAAGGGCTAGGATTACAGGTGTGAGAGCTACAGTAACCAGTCAGAAATGCACTCCAATAGCAATGCAAATACCATAGAACAAATAATGCTATACGCCATTCAGCACCTTGCTAGAACTGCATAAGACACAAAAATGAATCAGGCATGAAGCCTATTTCCAGGACAAATACAGAAATACCTTATTATAAGACAGAAAGTGAGCCATGATATCAGAGTGATAAAGTGCTAAAAGAGATGTGTTTCCTCATTTGCTCTGTGAGTTTCACAGTTACACAGGCTTGCCCACACCAACTCTGTACAGAAGGAGCAAGTTAAAATGTACCATGAACTAGTCATTCTGAATTGACATTCAGATGTTTCGAAAAGACTGCTAGGGCCTTGGACGTTCCAGAAACCAACGGTGTATTGTAATAACAATTTAATTCATTATAATAATTTACTGAGTCCCTACAATTGGGCTAAGTATTTTACATACACTGCCTCATATCAACCATACAGCAATCTAGTTCCTTCCTAGTGTTAGAATCCTCATTTTTCAAATTAGAAAACCAAATGGGTAAGAATAAGCCATATTAGTAGGATATTTAACCTCTAAATATCCCTTGACTGTTTGCCTCTTGGAATCTGCCTTTCCAGACTCCAAGCAGTCTAACTTCCCTACAAAACTCATCTCATGTCAGTACCATGAGCCTGTAAAAGTTTGTTGAAGTTTGTTGGACTAGCTAACCGCCTCCCCACCCCACCCCCACAAAAAACAAAAAACCTAATCTAAATTCAGAGTTTTGATAACTAAAACTAGCTTGATATGTTACCTAGCTAACTTAGGGCATTTGTATTTCTATGAGAAGTTTCTAGGAATAGCATCCTGAGCCCAAATAATAAGCTCCTAATTTTGGCTGAGTTCTTTGGCAGGCTGAAGAGATATTTGGGGGCCAGTGTTCCCCTGAGCAAACCTCAGATCACACCGTGTTGGCCTCCTTCTGGGGAGGAGGATCCAGGAGCTGCGTTTCCTGCTGCCCTCAGTCTTGTGCTGAGTCATCCTACCACAGCAGAGGCTGTTGGGGAGGGAAGGGTTTTGCAAACTTCAAGTGCAGAAACCATTGAAACAAAAAGGGAATATTCTCCCTTAGTAACACTACTCACTCATAGTTACCCTCCCTCCTATTTGTATCTTCCACCCACTCATTCATTTATTCCGCAGACTTATAATGTAATGGTGTGGTGTAGGAGAAACAGCACAGATTAAAGATAGATCCAGGTTTCAAGCCCAGGAAAGACACACCAGCTCCTGAGGATCCCCCAGCTGCCATCAGAATGACTCATCATTCTGATGAAGCACGGAGGAGGGACCATCCAGGAGGTAAGCAGCCAGACAGCTGGTGGGGATTCCCCACTATTTTCTCCATCCATCTCACTTTCTTCTCCTGGTGTCTTTTGAAAATGTCTTCTACTTTTATTTTTTTCACCTTGTATCTGAACCTAATGTAAAATTTCACTATGCAAATGTGAAACTAAGATCTATACTTTCTTAGTTACACTTAAGTAATAATAAGAGAGGGTATTTTTCACCTTTCAAATCAAGCTGCTTTAAATTGTATAAAGCTCAAGCTTACCCCTTCTTGATTTATTTTTCAGATTGTTTTTGAACTTTTCTCATATTTGTTCATCTCAACAATTTTAATAGCCCAAGGATGGAATGCTTTCTGTCCTACTCATATTATCATTCTTAAAACCAACCTACAACTTGCGGAGTGAATCTCTTTCTCCTGGACAGCAAAAATCCTAATTCTGGGTCCCAAATCATGAGAGCCACAGTGCCCCAATGCTGTCAATCCCTAATATGTCTAACAGCCATCAGAACTGTGATAGGCCAGGTGTGGTGGCTCACACCTGTAATCCCAGCACTTTGGGAGGCTGAGGCAGGTGGATCAGTTGAGGCCAGGAGTTCCAGACCAGCCTGGCCAACATGGTGAAATCCTGTCTCTACTGAAAATACAAAAATTAGCTGGGTGTGGTGGTACATGCCTGTAATCCCAGCTACTCAGGTGGCTGAGGCCTGAGAATTGCTTGAACCTGGGAAGTGGAGGTCGCAATGAGCTGAGATCACACCGCTGCACTCTGGCCTGGGCAGCAGAGCAAGACTCTGTCTCAAAGAAAAAAAAAAAGAAGTGTGGTAGGAATGGTTCTCTGCTAAATTTCAAATAAAATTATAGAGACACATACACACACACGTATAGACACACAGACCCATTATATGTGCATTAAACATACTTAATCAAGAAGGTGGTTTAAATTTAGCTTACTTCTAGATCCAGGTGGTAGGTGTAATATTAATAATAGCAGCAGTAGTAAGAGAATAGCAATAGTAATAATAGCAACAACCACTTACCTTGTTCTTATTATATGTCAAAGCTATTTATACATCACATCAGTTAATCCTCACAACAACCCTATGAACTGTGTACTATTATTGTTATTATTCCCATTTTTCAAGAGAGGACACAGACACAGAGAGGTTAAGTGACTTACACAAGCTCACAGCAAATCAAGCAGTTTGGCCTCAGAATTACCTCTAAGCACTTACTCTCCCTGTCCTTCGCTTAGAGAAATGGCAGCTATAAAATGAGGAAGAGGGAAAAAGGAAAATTAAATGTAGTCCTTCCTCCTTTTGTGATGTTGCCACCCTCGTGGAGAATAAGCCAGAAGCTTGCATATTTTGGCTCATTGCTTTTCAAACATCTTCATCACCCAAAACTGGTAAATGTATGCTTCACAGAAGCAATTAAAAACAAGCAAAACTCCACCACATTGAAAAAGACTCTGCAACTTTCCTTTCAGGACACGGCGAGACCACAGCCATGGGTAAAAGGTGACTTTCACTAGGGACATTGACTGCTCAAGGAGAGCATAAAAACATCCTTGAGCAGAGAAGGAGGTGGTGAGGTGCTGGGGAGGGGCTGCAACCTCCAGATGATCAGGATCCCACTCCACACTCCAGCGTTCTCAAGGCACGTTGGGACCAAGATACCGGCATAAATGCGGAGTGGCTCAGGATGCCAGACCCCCCTCTTCTGGAGAGGAGATGCATGTGTGTGGGCTTGGCAAGCTTCTCATTGACAAGGTGACCTTGGAGAAGCCGTTTAACAGGTGAGCCTTGATTTCCTCAGACATAAATGAGAATAATGGGATATTTACCTTCTTTATGCAACAGAATCATTATGGGGGGGGGGGGGAATTACATAATTACCCTAAAGAAGTAGAGTTTAACCAATATATAAGGCAAGTATTATTTTTTTCATCACAAGCAGGCTTTTTTTCATTTCCATTTGAGGATAACTCACACCTTTCACTTCTCAATTTCTGAAATTCATAGGAAAAACTTCAACCCTCACTTTTCAGTCTTAGCCTGGACTCCTTATTGTAACTGCTCTGTGATCAATCTGAATAGTAGGCTGGGCACGGTGGCTCACACCTGTAATCCCAGCACTTCGGGAGGCCAAGGTGGGCTGATCAGTTGAGGTCAGGAGTTTGAGAACAGCCTGGCCAACATGGTGAAACCCTGTCTCTACTAAAAGTACAAAAATGAGCCAGGTGTGGTGACACATGCCTGTAATCCCAGCTACTTGAAAGGATAAGGTGGGAGAATCACTAGAACCTGGGAGGCGGAAGTTGTAGTGAGCTGAGATCATGCCACTGCACTCCAGATTAGACAACACAGTGAGACCTTGCCTCAAAAAAAAAAAAAAAAAAAAAAAAAAATCTGAATAGTTGTAAATAAGATCTGTAGCTTGGAAACTGAGGGTCATTTATAGAAACTAACAGACTAAAACAAGAACAAGATAATGTTTCCACAAGGACTTAAGCAGTTCATAAAGAAAAGTCATAACTGTTACAGTGGCAAATGAACCTGGAAATCAGCCAATCAGCCACCAAAGCAAGGATAGGAAACTAATGTCAAAGAGCAAGCATGCCTAAACCCAACACTGCACTGCCACAAAAATACACCTGCTCACCTGAAATGGATATTTATTTTGACAGGGAATGACACCATCATCATTCTTCACTATTTCCACACATTTGATTTTTGAAACATCAATAAACCCCTTTCTGTATTTCTTCTGTTAAAAGAAAAAAAGGAGAAGCATTACAATCATAAGACATAAGAAAAAATATTCACAGTAATATTTTTAGTGAAATTTTGCTCTGATTCAAAATATTGCAATTTCTTTAATCATTATCTAAATCATGTTTTCCACTAACTGCTAAAATTGTTCAAAATACTAATACTGTGATTATTATAATGAAAATCATTAAATCCTTTAATGTATCAAGATGAAATGGTTCTGTCCTGCCTCAAAAAACTCCAGAATGGGCCTGATGTGGCAGCTCATTCCTGTAATCCCAGCACTTTGGGATGCCAAGGCAGGTGGATTACTTGAGGCCTGGAGTTCAAGACCAGCGTAGCCAACATGGCAAAACCCTTGTCTCTACTAAAAATACAAAAACTAGCCAGGCATGGTGGCAGGTGCCTGTAATCCCAGCTACTCAGGAGGCTGAGGCACAAGAATCGCTTGAACCCAGGAGTTGGAGGTTGGAGTGAGCCAAGATTGAGCCACTGCACTCCAGGCCTAGGCGACAGAGTAAGGCTCTGTTTCAAAAAACTAAATAACTCCAGAACAGACAAACTCCCTTTCATTGCTACCTGCCCCTGCCAGATACACATTTTGTTCAATTTCTTCACGTTCCTGATGATAGTCCCCAAAAAGAAAGCATCAAAGACCAAACCAAGCAAAACTCCATTTACTCAATCACAGATGCAACCTTCAGCCAGCTCCATTTCCCCTTCACCGGGGTAGACGCCTCCAGTAGAGGTAGCACACAAAACAGAGTGTTACATGAGGTGGACTTAAAATATTTACAGAAAGCTTCCGCTCAGACTCTATTATTAACTATTCTATTTTTCTTCCCCATTGCCTGCTCTCCCTGCCTGCTGTAGATCTGCCTGCAGCAATTAACTAACAGCCCATCAAGACTCCTCCCTCCAAAATCAGTATCCCACACTTGGAAATTTATCCTAGAGAAAAATCCAAAAGAATACAAAGCAGCATGTGCAAAGATAATATAATGCAATCACTAAACATTATTATAAGCACAAAGTAGAAATAAAAATATTTACTGAAGAATACTAACAGATGAATTTCACACAAAAAGTTGCATAAAGACTAAGCTTACTTTTTTTCATTGGTAGGCATTCATATGACAAAGAATAGAAAAAAAAGTAAAGAGATGAAGAACATTGTATTTGAGATGCCAGCCATCCACTGGCTTTTGTCATTGAAAATTCTTTTATCTAATATTCTGAAACCCCAGCTCTGGCCACAAGCTTTGGGGTCCCCACCCCACCCCAGGAACCTGCTCTGCATCCTCATTGTCACCACAGGACTTCCACACCTGTCCCACTCACCTGGGCCATCAGCAACTCCCAAATGACTAGAGGACTCCCCAGTGCCTATTTATATCCCCCAAACATACACACACACTAGAGCCCCACACCCCCTAGACACTTGATGTAGTCTGGCTCTGTGCCTCCACCAAAATCTCATCTCAGAATTGGAATCCCTGCAATCCCCATGTGTTGAGGGCGGGACCTACTGAGAGGTGACTGGGTCATGGGGGCGGTTTCCCCCATGCTGTTCTCTCACCCCGTGAGAGTGAGTGAGTTTTCAGGAGATCTGAGAGTGTTTATAAGGGGCTTTTTCCCTTTTACTCATTTGTGCTCTCTTGCTCTCAACTGCTGCCATGTAAAATGTGCCTCTTCCCCTTTTGCCATGATTGTAAGTTTCCTGAGGCCTCCCCAGCCATGCAGAACTGTAAATTACCCAGTCTTGGGTATGTCTTTATAGCAGTGTGAGAGTGGACTAATACAACAGTTGTCAGTCCCCTGTTCCATCCACATCTTTCCCCATTCCCTTCACACCTGGCTATGGAAGGTCACACAAGATCCTAACTGCCATCTCTATTCCTAGCCAGGCCTTCGCTGCTGCTCAACAGCCCTTGTGTATATCTCTAGTGAAAAGAACCCAGCGGCCTCCAGGGTTAACTACCAGTGCCCTCAAAACTACAAACCTCCCATTCCCCTTGCCTCAGTGGACTCCCTCCCTCTCTGCTTTCCGGAGGAGACAGCAGTCATCCCAGGGGCACATCCCCAAATTCTTCCTTCTGCAGTTCAAGAACATGCTACGATTTTAGCCTTTTTACTTCTCTTCCATCCTGTCTCTAAGAGAAAGTTAAAAAGACACAATAGTTGAGACACTGTCATTGGTACTGAACACATATTATTTCATTCTGTGTTCGCAATCTCCCTGTGAGGTGGATATTATTCTCCTCATTTTACAGATGAGGAAAGTGCAGCTGAGACAAGTTGAATACGTTACCCAGGCCCTGAACTAACCCCAAAGCCCGCTAGACTGTGAGACAGATGCCTGAGCTGCAAAGAGGCGAGAGGACTCATAGAGCCAAGTCCCACCATGGACAACAGGGGTTCTAAGCAGCCTTTCCACCAGGATAGGGAGAAGGAAAGACATCCTTCCGGGTCATTCTCTGCTAAGGGCTTCACCCAACCTGCCTATGGACACATGCAGGGTTCTCCTATTTAACCAGAAAGCATGCTTTCTACCTGCTTCTACTCTAACCCTTCTCTGCTCCTAAAGGAGAAGACAGTGCACCCTCATTTTTCATTTCACCTCACAGTCTGCTAAGGCGGTCATCAAAATCATCAGTGATAATCAAACCCACAGTCTTCTCTGAATTGTAAGCCACTGTTTGAAGATTTTCAAGTGCTGACACTCTTCTGCGCCCGTAGTGGCCCTGACTTTGGGTTGTCCTGGTTTTCCGTTTCTCCCTTTCCGTCAGTTTCTCACAGGACAACACCTGTCTTGTATCAACAACTGTGTCAAGGAAGACAAAAAGACAGGATAGGAAAAGCTCATTTCCTGAGCATGCAGCCCTGGAATTGCACCAGGTCTTTCAATCCTCCAGCTCTCTGCAAGGTAAGGATTACTATGCCCGTTTTACCGCAAAAGAAACTAAAATCAAGTAATGTGCCCAGGTTTACCTGTGGAACACACTGGCATAGTAACTATCATGTAATGTAGTGAGCACTATATATAATTTTTTTTTCAAGACAGAGTCTTGCTCTGTCTCCCAGGCTGAAGTGGAGTGCAGTGGTGCAGTCTTGGCTCTCTGTAAACTCCACACCCCGGGTTCAAGCTATTCTCCTGCCTCCGCCTCCCAAGCAGCTGGAATTACAGCCACGCACCACCACACCCACCTAATTTTTCTATTTTTAGCAGAGGCCGGGTTTCATCATGTTGGCCAGGCTGGTCTCAAACTCCTGTCCTCAGGTGATCTACCCGCCTCAGCCTCTGAAAGTGCTGGGGTTACTAGCATGAGCCACTATGCCCAACCATAAGTACTACATACAAAAAAGATGCTAAGACAGCACCAAGAACTATGGTTTACATTTCAGAAGAGGAATGGCAGGAAGAGAAGTCTCAGTGAAATGAACAGTAGATGTAAAGAAAAAACACATTTCCACCTGACCTCAGTTTTCTCATCTGTAAAATGGGAATAATAATAATATCTCTTTCCTAGGTTTGTTAGAAGAATTAAATGAGTTGATGTTTGCAAAATGCTTAGAGGAGTGTCTGGCCCATAGTACAAGATCTGCACGTACTTGTTAAATAACTATTTAGCCCTGGGAGCAGCAGGCTCTGCTTTGCTTCCAAAACACCCATCTCCATGTACCACCTGGCCTGGCTTCTAAAAGCAGCTGTCAGATGTGAGTAAACATATAGAAGAGAATTTGGGATGACTCGAGCTTACTTATGTCCCCCAAATTCATATTCTGTGATATATAATCTCCTAATAGCCTGTACTATTAGACTGGTACAAAAGTAATTGCAATTTTTGCCAATAAAAGCAATGGCAAAAGCTGCAATTACTCTTGCACCAACCTAACAATATTCAAACTGACTTTCTCCAAATATCTTGTTATGAAACTAGCAGACAAAGATTCACATGTAAATTGATCATTCATTATTTTATTTTATTCTGCCAGCAAAAACTGTAGGACACCAACCCAACTGGGCAATAAGCACTGTGCTGAGTGCTGGAGTTTCAAAGCTTTGAAAGGAGGGTTGAGGGTCTCCGCAAGAGGATTTCACAATAATATGATGGGTGGAAGGGGAAGAGCGATGATTCACAGTCAGTAATGATCAAGTCACGCTCTCCTGTGGTATCCTACAGAGTGAGACAAGGATGGGGCCACAACAAGACGGGGAAGTTTCAGGAAGGAAGTGACATTTTGATTTTATTTTTAAAGGATAAGTATGACTTTTACTACAGAGACAAGGGAGAGAGTTTCAGGCTGCAAAACAACAACATGCTGAGTATTTAGGGAACAGAAAGAAATTCACTGTGGTTGAAGCTCAGGGTGGTTCAGGGGGACTGTAGGAAATGAGACCAAAGAGGCTGTCTGAGGCCACATTAGAAAGACGCTTACGCACCAGCCTTACATGTTTGGGTTTATCCTGAGCAGTTTTAAATGGAGAATCAGGAGTCTAGTCCTGGGGTGTGTTTCTAAAAAGATAATGATTAATGGCAAGTGAAGAATGAGTGTAGACGGGGAGGCTAGCATGGTGACTGCTGTAATCGTTCAGGTGAGAGACGAGGGTCCGAACCAAGTCAGTGGCAGCAGGTAGGGTAAGGAAAGCAAAAACACCAGAGAATTTACAAGGCAGAGTCCACAGAACTTTGTGACCACTTGAACATGGGGATTAAGACATGGAGTGAAGGGGGCTTAGGGATTTCAAGTTTGAGTGACCAGGAAACACTGACACCATGAATCATGAGAAGCAACACAGAAGGACAATCAGGCATGAGGAGGCAGGGCTGGGAAATGTTTAAGGGACAACTGAACAACCAGCTGGAAGCCAAAATATGGGGCTCGGACTCAGAAATGCTTAGTGTCACCTTTATAGATAAAGACAATTCTGCTGCGGAAATGCTTAGTGCCTTCTTTACAGATAAAGACAATTCAGCTTTTCACAACACATAT